GTACATAGAACAATAGAGAATAAATCTTTGGAATCAGTGTTTTTAAAAAAAGTTGAATATTGTAATGGAGACCTTTTTTAGCACCTTTTTTGGATGGCTGAATGATTTTCATGTTTGCATTTGCCACTTTAATTTTTTTTTCAGGTTCTTTTGATCTTCTAGTATACACAGATAAAGACTTGGAGGTACCAGAAAAGTGGGAAGAATCGGGGCCGCAGTTCATTAACAACTCTGAAGAAGTTCGCCTGAGATCGTTTACTACAACCATACACAAAGTAAACAGTATGGTTGCATACAAAAAAATTGATTCTTTTTAAAAGGCAACATATGTATACAGCGGTTAGACTTGTATATAAACTTTGCTTGTACAAATTTTGTTTCACTGCCAGTTTGTGGATTCTTAAGACTAACACAAAATGTTAATAGTATATTTGTCTGTACTTCCTACCTATTGCTGAACTGAAGAATTCCTCTTTTTTTAAACTTTGCTTTTCTTGATGTATAATTCAAAAAATGTTTCAACGCCATGTTGAGATTTTAGTATTTGCAATATTAGTTTGAATTGATTGACTGTAAACCTGATTTTTTTTATGTGAATAAAATCACTGACTAAAGTTGTTTTTTTTTCTTAAGGGAACGACCTCAATATTAGCTTTGGAGAGTAAAAATTTCTTTTTCCCTCTCCAGCACATTCCAAAGTAGATCTTGATGAGCTTTTCAACCTACAAATTAACAAGAACTTGGTGAAATTTCTGATTTTCTTTTTACCTTTAGTACACATCATCCTTGAGGAAAGACTCCATCCATTGTTAATTTTTCTGTAACTTGTATAATTTTAACCACAAAAGTTAGACTGTCCATTATTTGCAGTTCAAAATATCTTGCAAAGATTTTCAAATGGTAATCTAGAAAACTAATTTGATATCTTTAATACAAGCAGCATTCTGGAAATAATATTAATCTAGCTTTTTACTTTTTAGATGCTATGTTAGTAGAATCAGCATTTGTATTTAATCAGCACTTATCATTTATTGACTTAAAATCACACCAAGCCATACTGAAAGGTGTATATATAAATTTCTTGTGGTTATTTAATCCTTACTGCAAAGGAAAATTGTTCATAGAATTGAATGTGTGTATTTTAGTTGATGATTAACATTACAAAATATATTAGCCATTGTTTTGCAGCTGCAGGTAATTGTGAAAATCTGAAAGTTACTATCCCACGTTGTTCCTTCTATGCTCAGTGCAGATGCACTGACTTCTACTTCTGGAAGTAGCTGTGGTGCATGGACCTCAGAGCTCTATACAGTGGCAAAAAAAATCAGGGAACGCAGCTAAAATGGTGCCTCACTCGTTGATCTTAACACTCAAAGGTGAAGGACTTGAAGTTGCAATATTTGTCCATTTAGTTTTAAAATAAATATGCCAGAAAATGTTTAGGCTGGTGTAATTTAAGGACAAGTGAAGTCTTGATGTGTAATGTGTCTTAGTACAAAAATACTCTCTGGCTTTTGATTTTTATTTTACAAGTTTTGAGTCTCATCTATATGATTTAATTAGTCTTGGAAATTGCTGAGAAAAAAAACATGCTGTTGAAGCTTTTCATCTTGCATAGAAGCAAGTATATCAAATCTCAAAGGGAACAATTTTTTTCCTGCATGGAAAAATATGCTGATTAGGTGGCAAATGGGCAGGTTGAGGTATTGCCATGGAGAATGCCCCTGAGAACAATTGGACATGGTCATGGAGCTTTAAAAAACACTTTCTCTTTCTCAATCTTTTTCTTTCCTTGCTATTTTGCTTTTTGTGTGTGGATTTATATTGAACCAGCTATTCTAAGTTGTATGTCAGACTTAGCCATGGTGCTTTTTTGTTTTTTGCTAGGCCAGCATTTATTGCCTATTCCTAACTGCCCAGAGGGCAGTTGAGAGTCAACGCCAACTCGTATCTAATCCAGACCTGATAAGAATGGTAGTTTCTTTCTCTAAATATCATTAGTGAACCAGATAGGTTTATTCAACAATGGATTTGTGGAAATCATCAGATTCTTATTGAATTCAAATTACATCAGCTGCCATGACAGGATTTGATCCCAGCTCCCCAGAACAGCAGCTGGGTCTCTGAATTAATAGCCTGATGATAATACCACAAAGCCTTTGCATCCCCTAATAGGTTGAAGAAGCAGGCTGTTGAAGGAAATGTACCCTGCAGATTTTGTTGTTTGACAAGGTACCACTAAAATGCTAATTAACAAAATTGAAGCTTATGAAATGGGGTCAGTGCCCAATTGGATTCAAAGAGAAATTACTTTAATGTCTCAGAACCATGAGACATGGCAGCTGATTTAATTTTTGAACTGGAGAGATAGTGGTATTCCCAAAGGTCAGCACTGCCACCACTAGTATGTTTTTGATCTATTCTAAATGACATAACTTGGAATATAGTAAAGTTTCAAAACTTACCTGTGTCAGGTAAACAGTGATAATACAAACTGCCTGGTACAGATAGGCTAGCAGAATACAATGACAAGTGATAGATGGAATTTAACAGTGTGAGGTGTTGTATTTTGGGATAAGTGACTAGGAGGCATTAAAACTTAATGGCATTATTTGGAAGTGTAGGAAGACACAGCGGTGTAAACGTGCATCAGTTTTTTTTTGGTGGCGAGTGTGGTTAGCAAAGCATATGGTTACTTGGACTTCATAAATAGAGGCAGTGAGAGTAAAAGCCACAGTGTTACGTTGAACCTTTTATAAGCATTGGATAGGACACAACTAGAAATAGAGTCAGTTCTGATTGCCATAATTAAGAAAATAAAAAGTGCCCTTAAGTAGGTGCAGAGGAAATTTACCAGAATTCTTTCAGGGATGGTGAGGTGGGATGGAAAACATTCAAGGAATGGGGAAAGAACAGGATTTTTTGTTTGTGTAGTGAATGATAATGACCTAGAACTTTGTTTCCATTGTGACAATCCTCATGGTACCAGTGACTTGTAGGAAGATGAATGAGACCCTGAAAGTAGAATTGAGGGAGTTCAGAAAGAAATTTAAAAAAAAAAAAAACAAGATCTCAACAGCAGTAATGGATTACTCCCAGTGCCATATGCTAATGAACATAAGAACAAGAGGATCAATTGACTGAATATGTTGCTGAAGAACTGATGGAGGAAGGGTGTCTGATTTGAGGCATTGGGACCATTACTGGGGTAGGGAGGCTTAAGCAAGCTGGACTTTTGTGTCACAATACTGTGATCACTTCTAAACAGTACTGTATTCTTGAATAATCTATAAGTGGCATAGTGGATGGAGTCATGTTAATATAACAAATGCATTGTGGAAAAGAAAACTTGTAAATGATGGTACTGGCCTAAAGCCATCTTAATATGGAACATTGGTCTGAACTGGAGTTCTATATTAGTGCCACCATTTCATTGTTTTACTATGAGTTTTTAATGGGTTTTCATGGGGCCTTTGAAACATTTTGGTGTGATAAGTGTGATGCAAATGTTTTATTTGAAGCCATCAGCAGCAGCTATGAGTGCTGTATGTGACTACTAATATTTAAATGTGAATGTCTGTTTATTTGCAATGTGCTGGAATGTTGGCTTCAATTTAGAATTACTATCCAATCCAAGAAATATTTACCTCTTATTTTTTAGTGGCACTTGGACTGATTTTGAAAAAACTTTGACCTGTCAAAATCTTCCAAGGAGCAACAATCACAAATGGGTAGCTGCTCCAATCTTTTCTTCTTAACTTGCTCCAGAGCTACATTTTTTTCTGGTCCAAATTTCAGATGTGGGTCTCGAGAAAATGGATATATTAATCAGGCAGGATCATTGCTGGAGACCATGCCCGCCTTTTTACAGCAATGTCTGCTCTATCAAATCTCCCAAGACACTTTGATGTATCTCCATCGCTTATCAAAGGCTGAGGAGTAAGAGTGGAAAGTGGGTGACTAAAAGGGGGGGATTATCTTTTAAAATAAAAATCTAAATATTTGCTCCCAATGTTATCCTCATTAAGAGTAATGTAGCATCAGGAAAAATAATTGAACTACTCTAGCGTATTAAGGTTGTGTGTGTGTGTTCGCCCCGGTAATAGACAAATAGCATTAACAAAGAAGCATGAGAAGAAACAGTCATGTCCCCATAGTTATTAAGAATTACACAAGACACTGAAATGATTACTCCATGCGAACAATGCTCGGTCTAGAACCCATGAGAAGAAGACTATATGTGCTGCCATAAGACATTAAGCCATTGAACTGGGGCAATAAATGGATAGAAGGCTCCAGTCCATAAGATTAGTGTCTGGTGAAAACAAGATTTAAAAACATAGCATCTGTTTACTTCCTGTCCTTCCTCTTCGTGTGCCCTTGTGTTATTTTAATTTTCAAATATCATGGATGGGATTCAACCATCACTGGATAAACATAATCTCATTGGTGATTGGTCCATTTAAGTAATGTATTGCCCATTTAAGGGGAGTATAAAAATGAATGTTTTGTAATAGCTTTGATGGATTCATTTTTCCCAAGAAAAGAGCGAGTCCCTTTGAGTATTCATGGATAAACAGTTTAACATAAAAACTTTGGAATGTAGGGTTAAAAATAAATTACCAAAGCTTTTTCACCATGTGTTCATCAGGACATCTGCAAACATGCCAAGTTTCAAATGATCGTAACAATTTGAATAAGAAAAATGTGCTGAATGGGTGACAGGTTCATTTTTTTTTTTATTCATTCACGGGATGAGGGCGTTGCTGGCTAGGCAGCATTTATTGCACATCCCTAACTGCCCTCTGGGTAATTAAGAGTCAACCACATTGTTGTGGGTCTGGGGTCACATGTAGGGCAGACCAGGTAAGGATGTCAGTTTCCTTCCCTCAAGGACAACAGTGAACCAGATGGGTTTTTCCAAGAATTGACAATGGATTCATGGTCATCATTAGATTACCATTAGTAAACAAAACAAAGATAAAATCAGAACAACAGAATGTGATCAGTATTAAATACTTTTGTAATCTTTATTATACACATGGCCTTTTCAACAGTGTCATATTAATATACATTAGGGAAATGGCTGCACACACCGTGATGGATAAAATACATAAACATATTTGTACTGAGAATAATTGCCTCTGGTTGCTAAATGATAAGTATCACAGCATTTAATCAAAAATGTGCAAACAAATTATTTAAAATAATCTCGTGAAGTCTCAAAGCAATGTATCTAAAACCATAAAGTCTTAATGTTTAAGTAGTCTGCATATGCAGAGATTAGGCATGCATTTCACACTCTATTTAGCACAAATCCTGGTTGACATTCCTATGTGGCCATTGCTGTAGGGCTAACAATTTAAATCAGGTTTCACGTGTTTTCCTTTGGAACATCTTGGCTCTGGATGCTATTCCATAGAAATTGTACAGGTCCACTAACCCTTGCCACTCCCATAGCTTGCCAATGTTCGCCTGCCACAGACTGCAGATTGGGCAAAAGAGCACCTGATTATTATTATGGGATTGCTCCTTGCCAACAGTCCTGGGTGTATTCACCAATTCACAAAGGCCAGAATTCTGGTATCTGCTGCCATCTAGACACTTTGGTTCCCTCACAATACAGGATGGACCATTTAAAAAATAATCTTTTTTCTTGACTGCTTCCTGGAATTGAAACTTGAGTCCAGTCTGATGGGGTCTACTCTGCCAGCTTCAGGAGGCTGGTACATCACAGCTGAGCATGCTAGTCGTAGGATAACTACAGAATGCCACTGGAGCTCTGAAGCAGCAACTCACAGCAAAGGGAGTCTTGGCTTTCAGCCCTATCCCTTCTGACATTGGAGCGCAAAGAGACTTTCGCCTCAGCCATGATTCCACCTAAACTCCAAGTAATCTATGACATCTGCCACATCCCAGTACCAGCCTATTTTCTGTGCATAGCCTGTACTCCAACATAACCACAATAGGGTCCATCAGAGAGCTAGTAGCCTTTATCCTTTACAAATTCATGTACAGCCAACTTTATAAAGGAATACTGTTTGTTACTGCAGCGATCAAAGTATTTACAAGCCTGTGCAGTACCCTCCTTTAAACATTATTTGTCATCAAAGTGACTTGCAATGTAATCTGTTTCCCATGATTGTTCCAAGATACAGGCAGTCCTCTGTGATCTTGACGTAATATCTGTTCATCATACATGATTTAGATAATGAGGGTCTGCACATTTTTAAAAAGAAACTATAGATGTCTTTGAAGCTGAACTGTGCACTCACCGTCTGACACCTAAATGTGCTCTCTTTCTAATAGGCACCATCAGGAAGAGGAATGCTAGCTTATGTTTCCTTCCCCTTGTTCAAGACCATGAAAACTATCAGTAAAAAAAACAACTGCTGCTCAAATCAATTCAACATATAGCAGGACCTTATGACTTTTATGACTCACAGCTGTAGCTGAAGATGCCCATTACCCATGAGGTTACCAAAAGGAACTTTAAGACATTGTGTGACATTGTATGTTAGCGACTTGTTCAAACTACCAGTATTTCATGTTTGAGGAAGTCAACAAAAATGTGATGAGGGAGGAGGGAAGAACAGGAAGGCAACATTCATTGTATTTCTGTGCCTGAGAACCTTTTACAACAAATACCAAATGACTACTTCAGAAACTCACTAGGTACAGTTTTGATGTTTTCAATTTGTTCTTGGGGCATGGGAGCCTACTTCCAAGAACTTATTACCCGTCCCTGTCTGCTCTGAGATGGTGGTATTGGACCTTTCCCATGAATTATTGTGGTTCTCAATAGCAGTAGTGGTGGCAGACACCTTGTTTATGTCAAAACTGTAGATGACTTCAAAGATCACACTTTTACAGCTAATGCTACATTGGAATATTTGATTTAGTGAAGGAAGGTTGCATTCTGCTGGTCCCATTCTCACAGGTTGATCCCAGAAGCAAATAAGCTCCAAGACATCTGGGTAGCTTGACAGCTGCTGAGGATGACCAGTTCAGGTTGTCTCACTGCTTCTTTCTCTTTCTTTCAGTCCACTGAGGGTCACTAATAATGGCTAATACCATAATGATATTATGGGCAGGTTAGTCGATAGACCTCCACAAACTCTCAGCCAGTAAAAGAACTAACCCCATGCTGTAGTGTCAATCTGCACCAGGCTCTTATCTACCTGAGTAATCCAACCCCTTGTACAAGGCTATTCTCATTGTGGTATAATGTAAAGAATTCTAAGATGCTGCAAAAATAGAACAATGTTGCATTATAGGATGGTAAGTATATTGAAGGGAATTCAGAGATGATGGTGGTCTCATGATATTGCTGCTCAACTCTTTTTGGTGACGGAGAGGTGCTTTTGAATTCATCTTAGTAGTTGCCGCATATATCCTGTAGATTGTTCACGCTATAATCATGATTCACTGGTGCTGGAGGCAGTGCTTACTAACTTCAGTAGTATGGACACAGTCAAACCAACTACTCCATCTTAAACAATGTTGATGGGACTCCTACCATGTGTTAATAGATGAGAGGATTTGGGCTAGTTTCATTCTTGAGTACCCAGCTTCTGCCTTGCACTTAATAGCCACATTTTATTTTGGTTGCTCCTATTAACTTCCCAGTCATTGGTAACTCTTGAGATGTTGATGGGGACCTCAACAATTATGATGCTGTTTAAGATGGGGATGCAATTGGAACTTCTCTTTTTTAAAGTCATTGCTTCACTATTTATTGTTGAATATTCAGTTCCTGCTGCAAAATGATAAGGGCTGTCATTTCAAAGGTGTAGTAAATGGAGCTCAAAAATCATTGAGCATCTCTATCCTTACAATAGAGGGGGAATCACTCATGAAATGGTTGAACCAAAGATGCTAACCTGAGGAACTCCTGCAGTAAAGAGATATTAAGTTGAAGTCACAAATGATTTCTCACATGGATGTGAAGAGCAGGGGAGACAGGGGAGCTATCCGTTAATGACTGGGCCAATATTTATCCCTCTGTCAATATTTTTTAAAAACCTGGTCGTTATCTCTTTGTTGTTTGTGGGAGCTTTCTGTGTGCAAATTTCCCACGTATTTCTTATGCTAGAATAATGACTACAGAGTACTAGAGTACTCAGTTGGCTGTAAAGCAATTTGGGATGTCCGGAATTTGTGAATAGTATTCCATGGAAGTACTGCTTCTCAGATGCTGCCTTGGTTTTGAGATGTACAGCTCTTACCTTGTTTTTCACTTTTACCATATGCATCATGGTCAAGACTGGAATGAGATTGGAATCAAGTAATTCTAGTCACAACTAAATGAAAGTCAATGAGCAAGCCTTTGACAAGTAATCATCATACAATGGCAATGCTGATGACTCTTTTCATTAATTTCCTGTTGACAAGCAAGAAGCTAGTAGATTGATAATTAGCCAGGTTGGATTTAATTATTCATCGTGTATTGGCAATTTGTGGAAAGATACCACAATCACACATTCATAAGAACAGTTTGGCTTGGATGACTAGATATAGTGTGCTGGCTATCAGCATGTGTATTTTTAGGGGTCACAACTTTGCACTATGAACAACAAGCTCATCTGTTCCTTAAATATCTTGTGGAGTGAAATGAATTAATGGGGTGGGTAGGGGAATGTTGTCAGGAGTACAGTGAATAGTTTTGCCAGAAGATATTTTCAAATTCTTTTCTTTGCTTGCTTCTCATGTTAATTTCAACATGGTTATGGCTGGAGATGTTTATGGAGGCTCATATTGCCTCCAAATTCATACAATTTGTCAGTAGTCTAAAACAGCCCTCTACATTTTGACCCTCTACAAGGCAAGGGCTGGTGAAGGGAGCACATTCCCAATTCAAGTATCCATTGTTATTATTAAGTACTCCCACATCTAGAGCATTAAATTTCTCTTTGATCAATCCCACCATAACTCCAATTTTGGGATAGTAATACTTAACAAAATAGTACAGTTCCATTTCCATGTCAGTCATCCCTGTAGCCTTATTGAGAATGCCAATCCAATACTGCATTAGAAACAATTTCATGCTATAGACCCATCATCACATTTTAACTAACTGACTGATAAAATTTTCAACCTAACATTATAGGCCATTGTATAATGCAATGCACTCTAATTCTACGTTAAAACTTAAAATTGACAATAATTAGAAGCAATCCAGTGTAATAAAACAAATAATTAAACAATGTTTTAATGAATTTATAAACTAAGGACTCAGAATTGATTTACTATCGATCTTATGGAAAAGTCTGTCAGGCACTGATATTGCAGTGCCCTGGTGCTGTATAAATCATACATTTGTTTTACAACTCGAGATAACATTTTATGAAAATAACTTTTTTTTCCTATCAGAGCAACATATTTCTATGCTACTGCTTTAAAACTACCCAAATATTTGATCACAATGTTTGAAGATAAATGCTGAGTCAGCTGAAGACGCATTCATGAGGTGCAACAAGGTTTCTAACCAATCTCCCCTTCCAAACAGTACTAACACCAGAGTTCTCTGCCTGTCAGTAATGATTTCAGAAACAGTTGTTCCTTAGTAATGATTTAAGAAGCCTGTAAAGGACTAGATAAGCAAAGAATCAGTTTAATTAACAACTGAAGTGTGATCAAAAATCTTCAATAGCTTCTCCTGCACAATATATGGAAACTGAAAATAGTTGAAACACCGATCATATCAATCGAGTTGGCTCGCTTTACCTGAATTTCTCGGTATAGCGATGACTACCTCAATACCTAATATATTATTTACCCACACATATTTGACATCACTAGGAGAACCTGTCCAGTGCTGTTATTTCTGGAAAAAAACAGAAACCCAGTTCTGAGGATAGGTCACTGGACCCAAAACGTTAACTCTGATTTCTCTCCACAGCTGCTTCCAAACTTGCTGGGATTTTCCAGCAATTTCTGTTTTTGTTTCCGATTTCCAGCATCTGTCGTTCTTTCAGTTTCCTACTATTTCCTGACCTTGGCTGAAATATATATTTTAAACTTATGAGTCATGTGGTATTAAACATAGCTGTGAACTCAGTCCTTATCTTACACACCCAGGCTATATACTGGAACATCTCTTGTTTAGCTGCATCTCCAGTACAGTATCCTCTAGAACAATAATCATCAGAATTTTTTATAATGGTGTAACATTAATGAGCTATCACCTTAAACAGCATTCCCAGAGTTGTTGTTTGGAACAAACATGCCATTACCTACATCGTGGTATAAGAAGAACTATTTTAATTAGTGTCTTTCATCCCTCTCTTGGATTTTGAAATTTGGCAATATCTCACCACCTTCCCTGCTTGGGAGAGCAACACCAATCAGGAAAGTTGATGGTATGCATTATGGATTGAGAAGATTATATGAGTATTGTTCCCATATGATGTTCTTGGATGTGTTGCTAGAGAGGAATAGGCTCTTATAACATTTATGATTGATAAATAGAACTAATTTCTGCGATATTTATTGCCGTATAACAAAAAATGCTAAAATGTAGATAATTTAAATTTGAAACTATACACTGAAGATATAAAGGATAATGGCCCCCATGACAACGTAGTATTATTTCTAAAAACATATGGGTAAAATCACCAATCTTACACTCGCAATGGGAAGCCACAATTGAAAGGAGCAACAACACCAGAAGTGCGGAGTTTATGAATGTACACAATAATTACTACTGTCAGAAATAACTACTTATAATTAATTACAATATTCAAAAACTGTGCAAAAGCAAATTCTGTAATGCCACCATGTACAAATATCAGCAAAATAAATTGTTGATGGTGCCTTGTGTCCCTATCATCAATACATTGAAATATGTGCACTTTGAAATGTAAAACATGCTACCCGTTATAAAACTATCCCAACAATGTTGTAAAATATAATATACTTGCCTTTACAAGATTCAACTGCTACAATTTCTTTGTGTGCAAGACCAAGAGACAAGTCTCATTTTTAGTGACATTATATAATATATAAATACATTGATTGGAAGCCACACAACTCTCCCAGCACATGGATTGGCTACGAAATGGAATGCTGTACTTATTCGTGGGCAAACCACATCCCAAGCAAGACTACAAATATTTCTTTCATTCTCTCAAAGCTAGACAGTAAGTTCATAGCAGCCAAATCTAGCTAAGAAGTTATTTTTTAAAATTGAACAATAATGTGTTAGGTTGTAATGGTGTATTTTTAAATAATAATTGACGAATTCATTTACATTTTAAAATAAGTATTAAGAACATGTCTGCTAGGTTAAAACATCAAAATTTCAGAGTCTGAAACTCCTGGATTCCTTAAGTTGCAGGACTTGGCTGTCCCTTTCCTTTTCTGACTGGTATTAACAAATTGCAGATACATTCAGCCAGTTTATTGGTTGTCCTATGGTCTGTGAACGTGATAACAATTAAACTGAAAATAACAGCTTGTCTAAGTGATTTGGAAAACAGCCCAACCTGTTGGGAGCTAATAGTTCTTATTTCACTGAGCTACTAACAGTTTTTACTACATTCTATACACAATTGGCAGCAAAAAAAACAACTGCTTGTCAGCCCCAAATTCATCCCAAAAAATGAGTCCTGTGTTCTCAATAGGCTACAGGATGAATCACCAAGGCCATCATTTTTTTTCGCCATTCACCAGTTTTTGAGTGGCTAACATTTCCCAGTTCTTTCGATTATTCCTACAGCCTTCAAGCAATGGGAGGCAAGCTTCAGATATCTCTGCCAGAGCCTAGAATGGCCAGACAAAAAAGTTATATAAATATCACTTATTGGCAATGTACACGAGCTTCAATTAACATTGGAGATGATTCTGTACTATAAATTAAGTGTATGGATTTTTCTATAGACTTTCCAACAATGGGCTTCCACTGTTTCCCTGGCAACCCCATCTCCAAGCCCCCCACTACAGGGTTGGGAAGAGTCAACCCATCAGATCACTCTTGAACATTCAGATTTGATCCCCCACATAAACATGCTGTTTGGATTTAAATATTATAGAAAAATTATCATTGAATGTTGGAAATGTGAGAATAATAAATACTTGTCTAGAAAGGACGACAATCATTCAACCAATGCCATTATGATTACAAACATTCCTGAGGAACAATGAGAAATCAAAAGTAATTACAATCAAATTTTCTAATCCCCCATGGCCACAATTGTTGAGTATCTAAAATCTGTCTCGGCAAACACAACTGATGGTTATCTGGGGCACATCTTATTTTTCATGAAATTTAATTATCAGCCCTGGCTGAACAGAGCATCAGTTTTCAATCATGATAACTGATCACAGGGGCCAAGTCCATTCTAAGACATAAGCGCTTGATCCATGCTAACACTTGATAGTTCTGTCAGCAGTACTATCTTGTTAATATGAAATTTAACCAGATAGATAACACTGTTTGAAGAAGAGCAGTGAGTTGTCCAACATTCATTTCTCATTCAACACCACTGAAACAGTTTCATTTGATTGGCACCTCACTACTGTTTGTGGCACTTGGTAATACACAAACTGGCATATTTTTCTACATCACAGCAGTGATTACATCATTGCTTCATTGTTAAATGGCTGATGAAGCACCTCTTTCTGCTGCCATTGATGTGTTTGTAATGTTGAGTGGGTGCTCTGTCATGTAGGGAGACATCGCCTGTGGGTTCAGGGTTGAAGAAGGACTGCCCAATTCAGACCCTGTGTGGTCTTGGAGAAGATCACCAAATACAAATTGCAAGGGCCTGCCTGACCAGCCCCAGAAATTCCGGCTCTACTTTCCTTATTCTGAAGGCACCATCAATGCCGATTCTCCAGTCTGCTGCAATTCCAGCAGTGGTCACTAGTGGGATGGAAGACTCCTCAGGCCTCAGAGTGGCCGGGAGCTCTTAGAGGTGGGATCTCATTCTTAGAAGGATAGGAGCCCTGACAAAGCTCATCAACTGATTAACTTAAAACATGGATGTGGCTCTCAGAAATGATGAAGCCAGATTGTTCTTGTCTTTCTGGTCTGCCGTCTGCGTCACTGATGCTCTACCAAAATCTGGACCTTGGCATACTCCTATTCCAATATTTCTGACCTCATTTTGTTTGAAATAGCTCCACAGAGGCCAACATCCTGTCACCAATCACCCTTTATTTACATGTGGAAAGTCCTTGACACTGATCCAGCTCCTTCAGAGCCAGCTCTCAAACTGAACAGGATGTCTGATACTCCTGTTTTATTTTTAAACTTTATTAACATACCACCACCAGGAAAAACACCCATGTGATAAAAGCATCAGTATCAAGCAAAGCCCCTAGGGGCAACGCCTATGTGAAAAAAGTGAGGGGGAGGGTAGGGATAAAATCAAAATAGAGTTTGTGGGGAAAACAAAGGGCTCCACACCCCATGGTGCCCACCTCTCCCAAAAGGCATTGAGAGCGCTGGTGCATACTGCATGCTGCTTCTCCAGGGACACCTAGGCATCCAGGGCTCCCTGACTGGCCCAGATTAACATCCCCAATCAGGGAACTCATATTCTGCCATTACAGTCAGTACATCCCTCCCCCTCTGAGTCCAAGGACTAGGCCAGTCTTTCTCTTGTAGCGCCTCCTGGGCATTTTAGCACCGGCTCAGGTTCTTCTAACTCAGCGTCAGATATGGGCTGCGCATAATGCACTGGAGCTAGCGTCTTGTGCCCAGAGCACTCTCAGGGGAAATTCATTCTCTTCTTTCAGCAGCAAAGGTGTCAATGCAGCAAGATCCGCCATCTCCATCCTACATTCCAAGGTCTCTTCATCGCTTGATAGAGAGGGACAACTCGCGGGTTACGGAACAGTTGGAAAGGCTGCCTAGGAGCCAGGCACGTTTTGCCCTGTTTGCTAGTTTGCAGCTTTCATATGGTCCATTTGCTTGTTCAGGACCTTACACCTAATACCATTCAGCTTTGGGAAATACTCAAATTTCCTACTGGTAAACGACAGCCTGTTGTCTGTGACCAACACTTCTGGGAGCCCACGTATTGGAAAAGATGCATATTAACTGCCCCAGTCAAGGAATTCATATTCTATGAGATCCAACTGCTTGACCTCATTACAATCACTACATTGTCCTCACCATTTTCTTGGAGAGTCCAGTTTCAACCTTCTGTGGACAACTGCAAAGTCTGAGGACTAATTTGGCTCTAAAGAGATCCCATTACAAAAAAAAACATTCAGTTGTAAAAAGTTCTAGGGGCTCATTTTCATGTTTTAGTATTTGGAAGAAGATTGTCTTCCTGATATTCTGCTGTAACTTCGCCAGAATCTCCAAATCAATACTGCAACCAGCAATTTATGACAATTCACTGCCGTCTTGCTACTGTTCCACTGAAGTATGGCAAAAGACCAGGAAATATTTCATGACTCCATACCCTACCCCTTCAAAACAACCACAACCCCAGCCCTCTACTGTGCTCTCTTGCTCCCACATCCTAAACTAGTACATCCTCCGCATTGTTGGGATCCCAACATTGAAAATGGAGGTAGATGCATTTTATTAAAAGATGGAATATCTATTAAATACCAAAAACAGTTACCTCATATAACTTAAGACAGATTGCATCAATGAATCCAACCTGCATGCTGGGGATCTGATCACATTTCTCTCTGTTCATTAAATCCTTCAAATGAAATTTTAAAAATTAGTGCAGAATTACCTTCCATTTGGGAGCAGCATATCTCAATCAGAAAAGCACATTTACATTCTCAAATTAAATGGCTGTTACATTAATAGAATACATCTGTATTTTGTTTAAGCAGAAATCAAAATAAAATCCGATACATACAATGGGTTCAATTTTTAACTCTTCCCTCTCTTTGTCACCTTGTTCGAAAAATTCTGTTGCCACAAGTTCGGCTGTCTGAAAAATGAAGTTGCAGGATTAACATGTTATTTATTAAAACTAACCAAACATAAAGATCAGTTTTGGAAACAAAAAAGCTGGAGGTCACAGCGGGTCAGACAGCATCCATGGAGAGAGAGCAAGCTAACTTTTTGAATCTAGATGACTCTTCATCAGAGGTGGTGAAGTTTGGAGGGGGCAGCATTTATGCAGTTTGTCGGGGGTGGTAGTGGTAGGAGCGCTGGGGGAGAAGGGATGTTAATAGTTCGGATTAAGTGATTGGAATGTGAGAATGGCAGAACAACGGTGCATCCAACTGCAGACTGGAAATAACCCAGTGAGACACTCCATTGTACTAACATTCTCACATGCCAATCACTTAATGTGAACTATCAACACCTTTTCTCCCCCAGAACTTCAACGCCCACCACCATCAATGCATAAATGCTGCCCCCTCCACACTTCGCCTCAGCCCTGATGAACAGTCACCTAGACCCAAAACGTTAGCTTGCTTTCTCTCCATGGATGCTGCCTGACCCGCTGTGAACTCCAACATTTTTTTTTGTTTGCAGTTCAGCTTCCAGCATCTGCACTAATTTGCTCCTACAAAGATCAATTTTATTTGATTGTCATGGCTAAAAGTAGTCACTGAGCCATAACAAGGTGCAATGAGATACAAATTTACTTTTACGCTGCATTAGCCATGTGCTTGGTATTGTAAAATGTGGTGTGGCAAAGTGACATTTCAGCAAACCTACTCTACAACGGTTATGAACAAAAGCTGGGAACAGAAAAAAGACACTATAGAGTGAATTGCCTTAGTCTACTTCTGTACAGCTCTTACTTATCAGTTTAACCATTGGCAGACTAAGGAGCACTAGGCTCAATCATAGAATGATACTTGGTCTTGGATATGCGATAAGAAAAAAAAGGAGGAAGTTGATGATAACTTATTTAGATCAGTGCATGAAATTTAGCTGTTTACGTTATCTATCGTAACCATTTGTAAACATGGAGCAACTGGAAACAACTGTACAAAACAGAAGTTGCTGGAAAAGCTCAGCAGGTCTGGCAGCATCTGTGAAGAAAAAAAATCAGAATTTCGCGTCCGGTAATCCCTCCTCAGAACTGTAAGCTGTTACTGCACAAAAGGTGGGTCCTGCTGGGATCTGGTCCAGATATTTAGATTGAAAATTATTTATATTTACTAATAGCAGGAATTAGTTTCTTCATGTTTCGGATCAAAAGTTACAGGGAGCCTATGCCATAGTGGTAATGTCACTGGACTAGTAATCCAGAGCCTCAAACTAATGTTCTGTGGAGATGAACTTGAATCACACTATGGTAAATGATAAAATTTGGAATTAAGAGCTAGCCTAACAGCAACTTTGTACTCAATGTCAATTTGTCTTAAAAACCCATATTCACTAATGTCCTTCTTTACACTGTGTCACAAGGCAGTGACTTGAAAGAAACTCGGGATTTACATATTAATCAATTAAAACCTTCTAACTGATTAAACATTTAACAGCATTTTAGTTTTGTTTAATAAATCCTCATCAGTGGTGTGACCCTTTGATCTTTTACTTATAAATTCTGTGTCAGATGCCACTTCTCTCACAAACACCTGAAGAAGGAGCGAGGCTCCAAAAGCTTGTGTTTTCAAATAAACCTATTGGACTATCACCTGGTGTCGTGTCATATCTGACTTTGTTACTGGCATAGCACAACAAAAATAGTGTGATGATACTCAAGAGATAACAAGGTGTAGAGCTGGATGAACACAGCAGGCCAAGTAGCATCAGAGGAGCAGGAAGGCTGACGTTTCAGGCCTAGACCCTGATACTCAACCTGACTTTGCTTCATCATCTGCTAGACAGTGCCAGAGAGGCTGATCAGCAGAAATTAATGTGAACACAGTGTCAGACTTCCAATAATTTAACTTCATGTGCAGTGGAAAGTTTAGTTTACACCCCTATACAAATATAATTTCACAGCATTCAGTATATTTAAATAGTGAGGCAGACAACAACATGAAGCTCCCCTGTTGTTGCATTTTGAGGTGGAGGGCTCATTAACTATATCAGACAACATGATTATACCAACAGCAGAGGTGAGGGTTGGGTGGCTTACCTGTTAGTGGGCTAATAAAGAGCTTTAAAAAGGGCAAATGATGTTTAATCAAGGATCTCATTCTGCAGGGGGGTATAAACACATTGCCACTGCAAGTGAAGCAAAGTTATTGAAACTCTAACAGTGTGCTCAGTGTTAATTTCTGCTGATGCACCTCTCTGGCACTGTCCACCAGGATTTAAGCAGCAGTAGGAGAGGCCCATGCCAAGTGGCTCGTCTGGGAAAACCATTGGTGTGTATCTGTCCCCCTCATTCAGGTTGTCACTACCCCATTCCCTCTCAAGCCTTCCACTCAATACTCCCTTGCCAGGCTCAGCCAGCTTGGCACCAAGTGAGACCCCATGGTGCAGTTCTGCATGTTCAAAGTGCTAAAAGGCCACTGATTGGCTGGCCCAGAAGGGCAGAGGTCCCACCTCGTGTGCATCAACAACCATTTGGCTGTTTAATGGGTTCAGGGCAGCCCCTGCTCCCCTCAGTGGGCTCTCCCTCCTGAACCTTCGGCCAGAGCTGAGGGCAATGTGGTATCTGGCACTTCATATAATTCAGTCCCATGGAGATTATGCAAGAGTTGCATCTGTCACAACACCAAGGGAGCACCTCCTTCATATATCCAGATTAGTCAGTGACACCCCAGTCATTGATGTCCTATCTGGTTGGATTAGAGAATTAATTCTCTAATTCTTTAAAGATAAAACAAAAGTAAATGGTCAATCAGTGAAAGGAATAAGACAGCGGTGGAATTAAGCTTAGAAATGAATAATGGTAGTAAGAAAGCTATTTATGAAACAAATTTAGACTCTAGAAGCTGGCACTGATAAAGAGGGATCTCAACTCTGCCTCAAATTTATCATATTTTAATGACATTAAAAGTCAACTTAAGAAAGAACACGTTTGGAAGAAAATATTTTTTAAAGAAAACTCTATCTTGTACCTATGACTATTCAAGAGTCCCATTTGTCTGTCAAGTGAGCTGGCCCAACTGTATTGGAGCTTGCTGTAACCAGCCTTTCCAACTTGTTCAATCGGCAGCTTTAGGAAACTTCAGATACCTTTATGAATCAATTTGGTGCTTGGAGTATGGAGAAAGCAATTTGAATTCTTTCACTCTCATCATCAGATCTAGTACTCAGGACCAAAATGACAGGTTTTTAATCACTTTGTTTATTTCAGAGATAATATGAATGTGCAGTTATTCTGTTAAGGTGGGTCGAACTGATTTTTGCCAATAAATAAAAAGAAACAAAATTATTCAGAACCTGACAATTGAAATTCCATTACATTTTAAAGAATGCAGTGTAAAACTAGCCCAAATCCAAAACAGAATCCATTCTTGCATTTTTTATAGAATCCCTCCAGTGTGGAAACAGGCCATATGGACCCAACAAGTCCACACTGACTCTCTGAAGAACATCCCACCCAGACTCAAACCCATTCCCCATCAACCCTATCTCCATAACCTTGCATTTCCCATGGGTCATCCACCTAACCTGCACATTCCTGAGTACTATGGGCAATTTAGCATGGCCAATCCACATCTTTGGACTGTGGGAGGAAACCAGAGCACCCAGAGGAAACCTACGCAGACACGGGGAGAATGTGCAAACTCCACACAGACAGTCACCTGTTGCTGCATAGCTGCTGGTGGCTGCAGCACAGGCTTGGTGTCAGCGGCCGCAACTGTTGCTGGTGCCTAGCCAGTTGACATCAGGAGTTTCAAATGTTACACAAAACTAACTGAAAGCTTCATTCCCCTCTGAATTTCACATCATCCTGACTTGGATCTACATTGCTGTTCCTCCCTGTCACCGGATCAAGATCCTGGAGCTACCTCCCTAACATCACAGCAGTCACCTTCTCAAGAGCAATTGGTAATGGGAACTGTTGACCTTGCCAATGGTGCTCCCATCCTGTCAATGAATAAAAGAAAGTCAGTGGCAACTTCTGAATTCTCTAGTTTTAGTTGCAGCTGACTCAAGCTGTAGTTGTATTATTTGTGTACAATTAATATTATTTTGACAGCAATACCTACATTATAAATACTGGCTACATTTTCAAAGGTAGAATTAATATTGTGCAACTTTCGTATATTTTATACACAGATACCGTTTGAATTACCTTTTGTTGAACAGGCCAAGGTTTGGTTATTGCAGACACATCACATGCTGTCATCAACATCGCCCTGTCAACATCAATAACATTAGGACTAAAGTGAAGTGAAATATCATTTTCTTCATAAACAATATTTGTAATTATTAAAACAACTTCGGGTGAGAATTCTTCAGAATGTTATATTTGGCAACACTATTTTACTTATCTAGCAAGTGTAAATCTCTAGAGCCAAGAGATAGCTTGGCCAAGAGATAGAGTCACAGAAGCATTCAGCATAGAAACATACCCTTTGGTCCAACTCGCCTACGCCAACCAGACATTCCAATCTGACTCAGTCCCATTTGCTAGCATTTGACCCATGTCCTTCTAAACCATTCCTATTCATGTACCCATCTAGATGCCTTTTAAATGTTGTAACTGTACCCACCTCCACCACTTCCTCTGGCAGCTTGTTCTAAACATGCACCCTGTGTGTGAAAAATTTGCCCCTCAGGTCCCTTTCAACTCTTTCCTCTCTCATCTTAAACCCATGCTCTTGAGTTTTGGAATCCCTCACCCTAGGAAAAAGAGCTTGTCTATTCAACCTTCATGATTTTACCAACCTTTATACGATCACCCCTCAGCCTCTGACGCTCCAGGGAAAAAAGCCCCAGCCGATTCAGCCTCTCTCTATATCCCAAACTCTTCAGTCCTGGCAACATCCTTGTAAATCTTTTCTGCACCCTCTCAAGTTTAACAATGTCCTTCCTTTGGAGGACAACCAGAATTGTATGCAGTATTCTAAAAGTGGCCTTACCTCTGTCCTGCACAGTTGCAGCATGATGTCCCAACGCCTTTTCACAATGTTCTCACCAATGAAAGCAAGTTTGCCAAATGCCTTCTTCACCACCCTGTCTACCTGCAACTCCACTTACAAGGAACTATGCACCTGCACCCCTAGACCTCTTTGTTCAGTAACACTCCCCAGGGGCCTACCATTAACTGTATAAGTCCTGCCCTGGTTTGCTTACCAAAATGCAACACCCCACATTTATCTAAATTAAAATCTATCTGCCATTCCTCAGCCCATTGGCCCATTGTACACTGAGATAATCTCCTTCACTGTCTACTACACCATCTATTTGCTATGAAATACTATGGGGTATCGTGAAGATGTTGTAAAGGTGCTTTATAAATGTAAATGTATTTGCACATCAAAAAGGAAAAATTATTGCTCATGGGAGCTAAAATGAAAGAGGGAATCTGGCATAAACAAATAGAAGATACATGAAAAGAATGACTCTGGAAAAACAAAAATAACGCCAACTTTAAAAGTCAAGCTCAAAAAATAAGTGAGTCACATTAGCTCAACTCACTGGGTTCGTGCCAATCATATCAAAGTAGCAATTTTTGGCTTCCAGTCTGTTGATTCATATTCCTTGTAATTAGATTCCCCACATTCCTTACCTCCCCCCAATAAAAAAAAAATCTAATTTACCTACATTGATACAATCAGTGAAGCATTAATTGACCCTAGTATAAAGATTGATTGACAATATCCACTGTCATAATAAACACTCTTAAGAACTGGTGGGCATTGCAGCTCGGATTGTAACATTACCCGAATGATGATGTTTTGATTTGATTTTGACAAGTTTCTGCTTCAGTTCTGAAAGTTTGCATTGACTGTTTCATTTGTTTTTGTCCAACAGGTTTATTTGTGATTTCAAACAAACCTGTTGGACTATAACCTGGCGTCGTGTGACTTCTGACTTTGTCCACCCCGTCCAACACCGGCGCCTCCACATTATGATTTGTTTTCATTACAGAGCACCACCAGGGGCTGTCTGACCTGATTATTGTCTTGTTTAAAAAGAGATGAGACTGATTTAATCCATGTCTCGAGATAATTAAACAGTGTCGACAGAACAATTGGTTCAAAGAACAATAATACGCCATTCAGTTCATAATGCCTGCCCACCCACAGTTTGTTAGCTTTTCAGTTTTGTAGCTTCAGTTCCCTGTCACAGCTCTCTGTCCCATTATAATCCAAGTTCTGTATTCCTCTTCTTTTATCTTATGCACTTCTTGCTAAGTGCAAGCTTAGTGAAGTGATTCTTGCCATGAGGCTGAGTGAACTGTTTCGCGGTATCTTACCAAACTCATCACAATAACTTGCATTTCAGCCCGTATGTCGAGGATCACTTCTGATTGCCACCCCATCGTACCATGTACCATTCCAGGAACAATTTGCTACTCAACGGAGATAATGGAATTGACCAGTGTCCCTGGTGCTGGCATGATACCTAAAAGGCCGTTGAAAGCTTGGACAAACACTGTCAGTCAGAGCTTTCCAGAATGGTTCCCAACATTTGCCCTGGACACAACAGACACGAGGAAGTTGGTGTCCCACTTTTTTGGGAAGGGACTTGGAGCTCCTACTGGAAATGTTGGTGCACAAACAGGGCATTCTCTTCCCCCCAGGCTAGCAGAGAAGGCTATGCCATCAGAGCGTCCTGACAGCCTGCTCCAAGGTTGCCACTCTGCTGAGCACAGCCTCAGCCATGTGGAGGAATGGCCGACGCTGTAGGAAGAAGGTCAGTGCCCTTCTCTACTCTGCCAGCATGAGTTCCTCACACTCACTCTGTTACTGGGCCCACCTCTCACCAAGGCTCATGCTCTACCACTGTTACTAATACAGCAAATTTTTTATTAACCAGTACCTAGGGGACCAGGAGAGTACCGGTTGATCAATTATTACGGATAATCAACAGGTCCACATAATCAATATACGCTAAGTAGTAAAAATGTAATGCAGGGGGGTACACACATCACTGTCATACTTTATTTACAGCATTAATCACTTAAATAATAATACAATTTTGCCTTAAATAAACATTGCCCGCACAAAGCCTTCTCGCTTGCACCCTCAGCTGACCACTTGAACATTGCGATAATTGAGGAGAAATTGACTCAAAGTTGCATCAATTGTTGATATTTCATGCGGCCATTCAATTGAACAGGAAGTGTACTTACATTGAGGTAAATAAATTATAAACCATAATACCTGGTCAGAATAAAACAGTAAACTTCGCAGTCTATAATGTCTGCTGGTTTATTGACAGTACCAGTTGACAAGGCGCTAGTTAAAACAAAGTTTGCTATACCTTCAACAACTTCCTGACTTGTCATCACCCATCCCAACCTGTGACACTACTAACCCTGCACACCCTTTAGGCTGCTTGCTCACTCACACAGAAACCTGAACCAATAATAATTGCTGTGTCACCCACTTTCATCTTCCATATTATCTGACTCTGTTTCATTCCAGAAGAAAAACAGCCCACATCTCCATCATTTGGCTCCTTGCTTTTTATGAGTGTAGGATCGTAACTCTGACCAGGCTGACACTGGTATCACCGGTTGCCCTTGACTTATTATTGCAGGATCCCCTGAGCAAAGGTCAACTCCATGAATGGACTAGAGACTGTTGACGACCATGTCATTTCACACAAACCATGGTTAGCCACTAACAATTTCCATTAGCAGCTATTCATTCTCCTAAGCTGACTGTTATCCAATCCTTTGTCTGTCCAACTGTCCTTCTCTCTCTTTGGGCTCCTTACCCCTTCCCCGACAAACTATCTTCTGCATAAAACCAACTTTTCTCCTAGCTGTCATCAGTTCTGGGAAGGTTCATTGGACCTGAACCGTTAACTGATTTCTCTCCGCAGATGCTGCCAGACCTGCTGAACCTTTCCAGCATTTTATGCTTTTTGTTTGTGATGCACATTTTTTACATGTTTCTCATTTTTATTTGAACCTTTTTAGATTTTAGTTTACTGTTTTCTATGTAATTGCCTTTGAATTTTTTTCTCACCATAAAAATTCAGCTTCAAATCTTTAATTTTGCTTCTTTCTTCTTTTTTATGGCCTGCTGCCTATTTTAGATATTCATGCAAATGTAAAAAAAAAATGAGCTTTCATATGCTGAAAATTAGCTTTACTGATGTGAGCATATGATTTTTGTATTATGCTCTCCTAATTTCTCTCTTTTGCCTTTCCTTTTCAATTAATTTCGTTTTCCATTTGTTAGACGCAGTTGGATAATTTGACGTAGGCTTAACGCATGTGTGTAATTCATCCAGCCCTGCACCTTGTTGTCTCGGATTCTCCAGCATCTGCAGTTCCTACTATCTCTATGTAATAATAATGCCTGTTTTAGTTGGTTACTTACATTAAAAGCTCTTTGTGACTTTTAACTTCCCAGTCAAATTGATTGGTTTTCACCAGATCAAAAAATTCTTCTCTCCTCCTAAAAAAAAAGTTAATTTTAGCAGCATGAGATTAAGTTTAATACATATTCCCTTCTTTCCCCTCATGTTACTGTCCAGCAAAGCAGATATTTATTTACATCACCTAGGTGTTAGTCTGGTGGAGCATATTGTCTATCATTGATGGGCTCTATAAAGAACGGATGATTCATTATGGAGGAATACCAGCAAGGTTGTGAAGATGAAAATCCAACCTTGGGATTGACCTTCTACTAGAATGCATTCTATACTCAGATATACGTCTCCACCAATACCATCAGCTATTTGATCACCAGCGCTTTCTGAATTTGGTATCAAGTTATGGTTGAACTAGAATTTTCACTAATTTAATAAATTAATCCATTTTGTTAAGCTCCTTAATCAAGGAGCTACTCTTATATAAACCCTGGCTGAAGCAGAAACCAAGGGACAAATACTTTCTCCTTATCCTGAGTTTATGAAACTGAGGTGAGGAGGAATTTTTTTCACTCAGAGAGCGGTGAATCATAGGAATTCCCTACTGCAGCTGGTTTTGGGAACTTTATATTTGAGCATTTTCAAGGAAGCAACTGACATTTTTCTGGAGGCTAATGACCTCAAGGATCTGGAGATAGCTTGGGAAAGTGACATGGGAATAACAAAGGAATAGAAACAGAAGTAGGCCATCCAGCTCCTCAAGCCTGCTCTGTCATGCAATAGGATCATGGCAGATTTGTCATTCCTCACATCCACTTCCTTGTGTTTTCCCCATAGATCTTCTTTCTCCACTGATCAAAGAAATTTATCTATTTCAGCCTTAAATATTCACAAGGAAATTTGTCCTAAAGCTCTCTGTGACAAGCAGTTCCAAAGACTCCCAACATTCTGAGAAAAGAAATTCCTCCTCATCCCTTTCTTAAATTCAAGACTATGCCATCTGGTCCTAGACTCTCCCATGAGGGGAAACATCAGCAGCTGATCAGGATTGGTTTAATTGTATGACAGAACATATATGATGGGCTGAATGGTCTACTCATGTCCTTATGTTCCTCTCCATCTCGGTCTCCTAGAAGGGTCTAGGCCCGAAACGTCAGCCTTCCTGCTCCTATGATGCTGCTTGGCCTACTGTGTTCATCCAGCTCTACACCTTGTTATCTCAGATGCCAGTCTTCTGCTATTTCAATTCACTCCATGTGACTTTAAGTAATGACTGAAAACACTAGATACTGTGAAAGCTATAGGCCGTGAAAACATTGCAGCAACAGTATTGAAGCTCCAGAACTGGCCATGCCCCTGACAAAGCTGTTCAAGTATAATTATAACACTGGCATCTGTTTCACAATATAGAAAATTACCCAGGTGCCCTATCAGTCTATTCTTGAACATTAACAAAGTGATGGAAAGTACGACTGACAGTGACAAGAAGCATAACTTTATCAACAATAAGCTATTCAAAGACACTCAGTTTGAGTACTGGCAGGGCCACACAAGTGCCACGCAATGACCATCTCCAATAGGAGAGAAGTGAACCACTGCCTTTGATATCCAATGGCACTACCATCTCTGAAACACCCATTATAAATATCCTAGGAGTTGCCATTGATCAGAATAAATACAGGAACAACCATATCAATACTGTGGTAATAACAGCAGGTCAGAGACCTGAAATTTTGTGCAAGTATCTCACCTCTTCATTTCCCAAAGCCTTTCCATTATCTACAATGCATAAGACATGAGTATGATAGGATATTTTGCACTCACCTGGATGAGTGCCATTCCAACAACATTCAAAAATGTTTGATTCACATCACAACCACCATCTTGAATAATAACTACCTTCATCATGGCATCCATAAGATGCATTGCAGCAACTCACAAAGACTTTGACAACCCCTTTCGAGCCTGCAAACTCTACCAAGGACAAGGAAAGCAGACACATGGGAAAACTTTCACCTGCAAGTTCACTCCAAGCCACACACTATCCTGATTTGGAACTATATTGCTGTTCCATCACTGTTGTTGGCTCAAAATCTGGAAATTCACTTCCTAACAGCATTGTAGTTGCCCCTACCCATGCAGGACTACAGTGGTCGAAGACAATAGCGCAACACCACCTTCTCAAGGGAAATCAAAGTTGGCAATAAATGTTGACCCAGCTACCAACACCCACATCTCAAGAAAGAATAAATTTTAAAAATACTTTCAGCTATGTCCCCAAGCATTTGTCCAACTGTTTTAAATTTGTTTGAATCTCTGATAAAAGCCTCGTAACCACTGAAACATAGAAACATTGAAATTAGGAGTAGTCCTTCAAGCCTGCGTTGCCATTCAAAATGGATGATCATTATCTCAATTCCATATTCTCACTTTCTCTCCATAGACCTTGATGCCTTCAAATTTAAAAGCTTATCTAATTCATTGCTAAATTAAAGGCCTATTCCATGACCTGAGCACATGATTTATACTGACAATCCACTGTAATACAGATTGAATGCTACATTGTCAGAGGTATACATTCAACTGAAGGTTCCACCTATAATCAAGTGGACGTAAAAGATCCTTTAGCATTTGTCATAAAGTAGGGAGCTTGTATGGAATTGTGGTCAACATTCTACTCTCAACAAACATTGTTCAAAAGAGATTTACTGGCCATTCATTTCATTTATTCTTTGGGGACCTTCCTTTGTGCAAATTGTTGGTTTGCTTAATTGAATAACAGCAGTTATTGCACTCCAAATATCCTTAGCTGGATGTAAAGTGTTTCGGAATGTCATGAAGACGTAATAAATTACCATGTAAATGCAAGTACTTCTTTTGGAATACCTAGAAAACCAGAGTTTAATAAGTCGAGGTATTATTACCACCTAAAATAATAATTCATAAATTATCATTGTGAGGAAAACTGGCAGCTTAATCTGAATGGATTATCAGGCAGTATTGAATTTCATTACATTTGCCAATGTAAAATGTGAACCATTTCTCCTCTTCTGTTACATGTAACATGTGTATGAGCTTTGCAGTTTAATTTCAGCACTTCAGTTTTAAAATGTCAACATTGCAAGACTGAACTTCAGAACTGACATGTCTCTGTCTTCAGTACTTACTTTATGTAGATTGCTAAATCTGTGGCTAAAATGGCTTGCTCAATCATTTTCAGTGTCATTTTATACTCATCCAGAGAAAGGCCACTCAGAATTTGGTTTCCCTGGAGGAAAATTCACAATTCACACACATTCACAAAATGTTAATTAATTACATATTAATATATCTGGCTTTTAATTATTATCCATGCTTTTCATGCTTGATTTGGTTAGGAGTTGTGATTCAAGTTAGTATCTCTGACATAACGATGATTATTAATAATGAAAATAATAATAATGAGTTTTAAACCTTGGACACTGATTAAACCCCAACTATAACAATGATCAGTCTTCACCGGCCACGTGATAACAATGTTTACTCATGAAATGGAAACAGCACATCATAAATATCACATGTATCAGTAGATAAATAGGAACCCAAAAATTGTTATGCTGGATTGCTAATTATTTTGCGATATTTGAACACCAGGGAACCAAATATTTTTGTCAGTCTACAACCACTAGATGGTTTGTATTCATAAGGATGCTCAAAATTATCCTGGGCTGAACAACATGTCTGGATTCTCAGATTTGCTGGGATCCAAAGCGTATATTGCTAGGCCAACATTACACAAAGTAGAAGTGATTGGCTTAATACTTGCCACAGGCAACTAGATTAAGGTTGGAGCAGAAATAGTATTTATGCTTTAATTTAAAAATTAAAAATGTCTTTTAACTGTTCCAGGTTTTCTCCTAGAATAAGTAAGGCTTACAATATAGATGCTTGATTTAAAGATCTTTATGACTCTTAGTTTTCCAAAATAATTTTGTTAGTTGCATAGTAACAATGATTTCTCTGTCTGGTGTCATATAAACTGTATTCCCAATGATTTTTTTATTGCTGTGCATATATATTTTTAACATTCTGACACCGACAGCATACTGTAATTGCGAAAATATTATTTGCAAAGTTTCCCTCACCCAACTTCAAGACGCATACTAACACAATTTCCGTACATCCAAAAAATTTTCAAAATGTTATGCATTGTAAGGAAAAATACCGTTTTGAGTGAATGTTTAGGCCAGTTTTGTAAATTTATTACTGACTGAAACTCTTTTAGGCATTTTACATCTTGTGTTAAACTCAACTTCCTACACCATAATGATTTCCAAACATAGCAAAGTAAATGTCTTCATGTCTTCCAATAAAAGTAAAGAATTTGCAGAATTCACTCAAGGCACAATAACAGAATGTAGACAAATTCTGAAAATAAATCGATGGCCCTTGCACTTTTTGAGTATCAATATTATTAATTAGAATAAAGCAGTAAAAAGCAGTCAGTCACTTACAGGAGAGTTGAGTATCATGACACATTGATCAAAGTGATGATGTTCCATCATGGAGTGACAGTAAAGTTGAGCCAGAGGGTGCTCACTCCTACACAAAGGCAATCAGGCAAAAGAGTCTTATATCAATACTTCCACATTTTTCACTAACAGAAATCACTACGAATGATAATGTGTTAAATTGGCTGTTTCTGTAAACGTTTCACAGTTGAAGCATATTGTACTCCTCAACATCTAGACGGAAGGCCAGCAGGAATGATATGGTCACTAGCCATTGTCTATAGCACTGCTGAGCAAGGGAAGGAAAACAATTAAACTGCAGGATGAAAGAGACCTCATGGATTAAAAAGCAATGGCAGAGACTCACATTTAGAAAATTGCAAGGTAAATACAGCGATATGTAAACATATATTACACATACCAACAACTCAATGAGGCACTCATACCTCATAGTCATGGAAGTTGTAGGTTCAAGTTCCACTACAGAGGCAGAGCACAAAAGCCAGGCTGAATTTTCAATCCAATACTGAGCAATAGCTTTACTGATGAAGATGCCATTGTTCAGATAGGATGCTAAGATCTCATTTGTCCTCTGAGGTGGACAAGAATATTCTTGACACTATAGGGAGTTCACAAAGTGTCCAAGCAATATACATCTCTTAATTAACAGCTAATACAAATTGTCCACTCATTGATATTATTGTTTTTTGGGGACCTTGCTGTATATATACATAACATGAACACTTCAGAAGTACTTCGTTGGCTGTAAAATATTTACATTATTCTGAGATCATGAAAGGTGTGATACCAGTGCAAGTTCATTCTTTTCCTTTAATCAACCCAAGTCTCAGAGTCCCAGCTGTGATATTCATGCTTTACATATAGGTGTGATAAGAATAGTGACCTTCTTGGTAAGCTCAGGGAGTAGGCCATAAGACCATAAGACCATAAGACCATAAGACATAGGAACAGAATTAGGCCATTCAGCCCACAGAGTCTGCTCTGCATTCAATCATGGCTGAAATGTTTCTCAACTCCATTCTCCTGCCTTTTCCCTGTAACCTTTAAGAACCTATCTAACTATCTCTGTCTTAAATACACCCAATGACTTGGTCTCCATAGCCTTCTGCGGCAATGAGTTCCACAGATTCATCACCCTCTGGCTGAAGAAGTTCCTTCCCATCTTACTTCTAAAGGGTCATCCTTTCACTGTGAGGCTGTGACCTCAGGTCACAATCTCTCCTACTAATGGAACCATCTCCGTACATTGTATTTCTATAGTACAAGCTCTACAAATTAATACATAGATAAATATTGATAAATAGAGTCATATAGCTGTACTGCATGGAAGCAGACCCTTCAGTCTAACTCGTCCATGCAGATATCCTAAATTCATCTTGTCCCATTCACCAGCATTTGGCCCATATCCCTCTAAACCCTTCCTATTCATATAACATTTATAAGGCATCTGGATGTGTATAATTGTACCAGCCTCCACCACTTCCTCTGGCAGCTCATTCCATATATGCACCAGCCACTGTGTGAAAAAGTTGTCCCTTAGGTCCCTTGTATACCTTTCTCCTCTCACCTTAAAGCTATGCCCTCTAGTTTTGGACTCCCCTTCCCCTGGACCTTGCCTATTCATCTTGTCCATGCCCCTCATGATTTTATAAACTTCTATAAGGTCACCCCCCAGCCTCAATGTTCCAAGGAAAATAGCCCCAGCCTATTCAGCCTCTCCCAATACCTCAAACCCTCCAACCCGAGCAATATCCTTGTAAATCTTTTCTGAACCCTTTCAAGCTTCACAGCATCCTTATATCATCATTCATTACTTTCCAGTGATCAATTGGTATTATCTCTTGCAAACTGCACAGCAATTCAACCTTTCACAGGGATGTCACAACAGGCTGGATGGAGTTCACTGACCATTAACGTTCACCATCGAGTCCAGGACATGACAAATCAATTGAAAAATAAAACTTGTAGAGCAACAAAAGCAATGATTTGCATTTTTAAAAGGTCTTTAACATAGCAAGACATCCCAATGTGGTTCACAGAAATGTTTTCTATTGCTTGAATAACTCAACTCCAGACTCTCCAAAGCGCATCTGTCCATCAACTACAATGCACAAGGTAGGAGTGTGATAGAATATTCCCCACTTGCCTGGATGTGTGCAGCTCCTACAACACTCAAGAAGCTTGATACCTTCCAGAATAAAGCAGCCCGTTTGGCTGGCACCACATCCACAAACATTTACTACACCCACCAGTGACACTCAATAGCAGCAGTATGAACCAGCTAAAAGACACACTGCAAAAATTTGCCAAGGCTCCTTAGGCAGCACTTTCCAAACCCATGATCATTAACCTCTAGAAGACAAGGGCAGTAGATGTATGGGAGCACCACCATGGGAGCAAATTCCTCTCCAAGCCACTTAACATTCTGGCTTGGAAATATATCACCGTTCCTTTAACGTTGTTGGGTTAAAATCCTGGCCCTTCCACCTAATAGCATTGTGAGTACATTTACACCAAATGCGGACTGCAGCGGTTCAAGAAGGCAGCTCACCGACACTGTCACTTGGGCTGGGCAATAAATGTTGATCCAGCCTGTGATGCCCACATCTCATGAATGAATGAGAAAAAGTATAAGGCAGACAAAGCAATATCAGCACAGGTAGCCAAAAGCTCTGCCAAAGAGAAAGGAGTATTTTAGAAGAGGAGAAAGAGGTAAAGAGATCGGGCAATTTAGGTAACACATTCCAGAGCTTCGGGTCTAAATAACTGAGGGCACAACAACTAATTGGCCAAGTAATGGAAGTTGGAGATGATCAATAGGCCAGGAGATCTCAGCGGACTGCAGAATTAGAGGAATTTACAGAGGTAGCAAGGCCATGAATCTATTTGAAAATCACAGGGAAAGTGCATTCAAATACCAAGCCACATCCATACAACGATAGCATCAATAACTAGTAATATATCGCATCCAAAGTATGCAAAAGGCTCATACCTCTTTATGAAAGCATTGTTCACCCCTCTGTGGTCCAGATCATGGCTCAGGGTTGCTATAATGAGGGCTAAAATCTCCAGGTCTGTTAACTTGTTCTGTACCAACAGATGAAAACAATGGAAATATGTAATTCTCAATACTCAGACTACTTAACATTTGTAAGGTCAGGTAGAATCTGAACAAGAGGATGAGGTAACAAAAACAGCCTACAGCATTGTGATTTTTTTTAATCCAGCCAGTAGTTAGGGGTTTTGAATGCACTGCCTTGGAATGCGATGGAGGTACTTGCATTTGTGGATTTGAAAATGGAATTAGATAAGCCCCTTAGGGGAAAAATAGTTGCAGGGATACGGAGAAAGGGTGGTGAAATTGCATCAAATTAATTGCTCTTGGTGTGGACCTTACACAGATTCGATAGGTTGAATGGCCTCACAATGCTGTATCAATTCTATGAGTATACTCCTGGATTTTGAGGTTGGTTGGCTCGCCGAGCTGGTTTGTTGTCCCGGGAGTACAAGAGTACATGAACACCAACTGGCTACAAAAAGACACGACCAATACTCGCTCATCTCAATCCACATGGACAAGGAGAACCACGGCTTCGACTGGGACAGCACCAAGATCCTGGGACAAGCTAGGCAGAGACAAGCACGAGAATTCCTGGAAGCATGGCACTCCACGAAGCAGGCTATTAATAAACACATTGAACTCGACCCCATATACATTTAACTACGGAGGAAACCCGGAAGTGAGGCAATCCATTGCAATGGACACCGGAGTTTAAAAACCAGGCGGGAAAACACACCGATGCTTCATCAGAGGCCGCACTGAGGATGTTACCAAGCACGGTAATGAAACGTCTGCGAAACAAGAAACCAGCTCGGCGAGCCAACCAACCTCAACACCCACAACCCGAGCTACAGATCTACTCCAAAACTCCTGGATTCTTTAATGAAAATCAGGATGGTTTTACAAAGGGCAGCACCTATGTCTGAAGTTGAAATTTCACTCCAATTTCCCCTGACTCACTGCAAACTACGCCACGGGAAGTTTTACTTAATGGTAAAATAAGCTCAGGAGGTGTGATGGACTACAACCTGCCCTTTCATTTCGAGAATATAAAAACATGGGAACAGGAGTGGTCTATTCAACCTGTTGAGCCTACTTTGCTACTTAACATGACCATGACTGATCAAACATTTCAAAAGTCTTTTACCCACACTATCACTATAACCGTTTATGGTGTTGTTAATCAGAAATCTATCATTTTTATCTTTAAACATAAACAAAGATTGAGCCATCTCAGCCTCCCGGGGTAGAGAATTCCAAAGATTCACAACCCTCCAAATAAAAAAAACATCTCCTCATCTCAGTCCTCAATTGCATCCCTTTTCAAAACTGGTATCTCCTGGTTCTAGACTACCCAACCAGGGGAAACACCTAAGCGACATTTACCCTGTCTATCTCTTTATAGTTTTCAATGATTGATTGATTAATTGATTTATTTATTGTCACAGGATCATCTTCCATTCTCAAAATTTTAGAGGATACAGGCCCAGTTTGCACAAGTCTCTCATCATGGGACAGTCCCTCCATCCTGGGGGCATATCTGGTGACCATTTGTTGTACTTCATCTATGGCAATTGTATCCTTTCTGAGGTAAGGAGACCAAAACTTCACATAGTGAACTTCACACAGTTTTCCTGGTGTGGTCTAACCCAGCTCCCATACAACTGAAGCACAACTTCACTCAAATCCTTTTGTGATAAAAGCTAACATTCCAGGATCTGCATTTGAATCTAGCATAATGAGATGAATGGTACAGTTCCACAATTAATGCAAGGATTCCACCAAAGCATGTTTAGAGAGTTTCAAACTAATAGCCACAGTAAAGTCAGGGCCAAGACACTGTCAGCTTTCCAAATTAATTGTCAGTCATTTTAGTACCATCAGTAACCAAACACACGGCAAGCATGAGAAAGGAAATGTTACACTGGCGCAGTAGAAGGTGCTATCTTGTGATTACCAAAATGATCATTTCTGCAGAGGGAAACCATTATGTATTATGTGCCTGATGAGGCAATCAGGAGGGTAGTCAAAAGGAGAAAACACTGGATAAATTTTGAAAAGTAACAAGTTCACAACAAATTTTCAAACCATGTGAACACTCCTGTAATGGCAGAATGAAACCACCACATTCTTCACCTCATTTAACTCCAACTACTAATAAGTATACTCTACAAAATTTATTTTAATTCCAAGTTTAAAAAAATTACTGAAAGGAACAAAGCAATTTATACACATAACAAATTAACACGTAAAAATCAAAGCACACATGACAATGAAGGATATCCTATTCTATCGAGGTGGTGTCCTGACACGGACAGAGAACTGGTTGGCAGACAGGAAACAAAGACAAGGAATACATTTTTTTCCAAGTGGCAGCCACTGACTAGTGTGGTATTGCAGGAGTCAGCGCTTGAACTCCAGATATTCATCCTACATATGAATGATTTAGATGAAGGAACAAAGTGTAATATCTTTTAAGTTTGCAGATGATACAAAACTAGATGGGAGGGTCAACCATGAGGAGGATGCAGAGATGTTTCAAAGTGATTTGGACAAGCTGAGAAAAGGAGCAAACACACTGCAGATGAAGTATCATATGGATTAATGTGAGGTTACCCACTTCAATAGGAAAAACAGGAAGGCAGATTATTATCTGAATGGTGATAGATTGGGAAAGAGGGAGGTGCAACAAGACCTGGGAGTCCTTGTAGATCAGTCACTGAAAGTAAACATGTGGGTGCAGCAGGCGGTGAATGAGGCTATTAGTGTGACCTTCATTGTGTTGTTTCAAATATAGGAGCAGGGCTTTGCTGAGATCATACCTGGAGTATTGTGTGTAGTTTCGTCTTTTCATCTGAGAAAGAATGTTCTAGCTATGGAGGGAGTGCAACAAAAGTTTACCAGACTGATTCCTGAGATGGCAGGACTGATGTATGAAGAAAGATATGATTGGTGAGGACTACATTCACTGGAATTCAGAAAAATGAGGGATGATCTAATAGAAACCTATAAAAATTGAACAGGGTTAGACAGGGTAAACACAAGAAGGATGTTCCCAATGACCAGGGAGTCCAGAACCAGGGGTGACATTCTAAGGATACTGAATAGGCCATTTAGGACAGAGATGAAGAATTTTTTTTCATCTAGAGAGTGGTGAGTCTGTGGAATTCTCTTCCACAGAAAGGGATTGAGGCCAAAAGATTAACAGTTTCCAAGAAGAGGTTTAACAGAGATCTTAGACCGAAAGTAATCAAAGGGTATTGAGAGTATGTGGGAACAGGGTGCTGAGCTGGGGATCAGTCATGATCATATTGAATGGCAAAGCAAGCTTAACGGCCAAATAGCCTACTCCTGCTCCTGTTGTCTATTTTTCTATAATTTATATTATTGACTTAGATGTACATCTAATTGATGGATACAAATAACAAGGCAAATCAAACATGTTTATTTAAATCAGTATTAGTTAAGGTTTTTAACAATTTTATGGAAAATCTAACATTAAATTATCCAAGGGTTGTTATTCTGGCTGTTAGATCAGCAATATTGTAGCTACAGATGTTCTCCAGTGCAGCTGAATACAGTTACAGCATAGTGTGTAACATGTATAGAAAAGCAGGGATCTAAACAATAATCAACATAAATGAAGAAGTCAAAAAGTAAAATGACCAGCAACGAACCTGAATTTTGCCAGATTTCAGCACAGCAAACATGCATTGAGCAGTATTAAATGCATGTCTCCAATTGTGATATGCTACATGTCTTCGATAATTTTTTTTAACACTTAAAATCCAGCGGCAAAGAACCTGTAACAGGAAAAGATCAAAGAGTTATGCAATTATCCATGCACATCTTGGATCCACTCAGGCTGATAATGAAGATGTCCCTCTCTGTCCATTTTTAGTTTAGCAGCTTACAAGTAACTGCTTAGCAGAGATGTTGTTAAAATATAACATGTTAAAAATATTGAATTCCTCTTCCAGCCATTTTGGCGATGTCAGGCACACTGCATACTTCCAGTTCATGTTGTCAGAGTAGGCCAGATTATGATGTCTATTGTCTTGCTGCTTTAAAAACTGCATTTGTTAATGAGCCAAGCACCAAGATGACATTGCATGACAAACAGCCATGAGTAGTCCAGGCAGTAGCTTGCTAAACTAAGGATCCGAATATAAGTTGCTCTATAACTGCAAATGATCAATTTATTAAATAAACCTGTTTGAGATTTTCAATTAAGTTGAACCAAAGCTATTTACCAATCCAGTATGAGAGTATTAATTCTGTGTTTGGGAACACAATACAGGAGTACAATGTGGTCATCAGCAATGATGTTTCATAGAAACGAAGGCATGGACAGGCAGTGCCTAAGCGATCTCAATAATCTGTTGGAGAACAGATTGCTGGACTATTGTGACACCTGGCTAGCTCCTTTGAGCATTCATGCCCACAGCCACAATAACAGCTGTCTGGTAAAAGGGTACAGATTCCTTCAAAATTTATTTTTTAAGAAATGCAAAGTGAAATATACTTCAAAACGTTCTTTTCCAGAGCCAAAACAACCTCTTGCATTAGCAAGAATATATTTTATTCAATAGAACTCTATTCTTTCAAACTAATTAGTAGTTTGTATATTTTTCACTTACTGGATAAAAATATTGAAGCATGTGTTTGTGTTCATAAAGGTTACTCACGCTTAATTTAAGTTTATAGAATTCATAATTTGCAATTGTTGCAGATTCTACAAACCCCACTTTACCTCGTATTTCATCTGGAAGTTCTGTAAAAAATTCAGATCCTTGAACATTCGGATGGCAGCCAGCGTCGTTTCAACTTCAGTCAGGTCAAAATCACTGAAGCTAAAATCGAGCAGCTTCAGTGAATGAGCAGAAGGGACAGTCATAGCCTGAAAAATAGTGAACGTGATAAAAATGCTAATGATCACAGTTAAAGATTTACTGGATTGTTTCCACTTCAATGGGCAATTCTAATTTGTAAGTAATGATTGAACAAAGGCAGCTTACCTCGTGACACAAGGTTGTACTTGAGACACATTAAAGTGGAGGTGGGCAGTTTCAGTTTGTCAAATATGCAGAGAGTAGATAACAACAGCAAGAATTGGAAACTTGTACTCAGCCCATCTCCAACATGTCCACATCAGTTTAAATGGAAATGAGTTTAGATATACAAACATAAATCCCTCTAGAGAGGTAGGTTGGTGATCCTACTATTTAAATGAACGATATTTAAAGGCATTTTCACTGTTATTGGATTTAATAGCTTCAGTCTGCCACTGTAACAGGGGTGAGGTTGTTGTCAGAAATCTGAAAATTAACTTCAGCTCAGTGTCCTTTCTCAGTCCACTCTTGGGAAAGACTTAGTAACAGTACCTGTTGGTCAGAAACTTAATTCTATATTTTGGAAGTCTTCACATGGCGAACATCAGGTTATCCGATGCCATGGCTGCATTAAGATCAGAATCTAAGTCGGGCAATCAGCATTTGCAGAAACAAGGGCTTGCTATCGTGGCAGCTGAGAAAAGATAATCGACATGGTAGCAGCAGAGGCACTGAGGACATTGAGAGGCACTATCCATGTAAGCAGGTGCACAGACAGAAATAAAAACATAAAATAATGGAAAAACTCATCAGGTCTGAGAGCATTTACGGACAGAGAATATTCCAGGCAAATTTGAGTTGGATTATCTGGGAGTTGTCATGAGGCTTCATATTATGCAGACTAAGTCTTGACCTATTCATGGGAAGTACTCTTAAGGGATAGCTGGTATCCAACAAACGATCCCTTCTCCAAACATAGTGATGTCACACTGAGGAATTCCATCAATGAATGACAACTATATGTAAACCACAAGGCTCATCGTTAACATGTTCATGATGCACTGGGATGTACCCTTCACTACTCATCAGTGTGGTATCTATTCTAATTGGTGTGTGCTACATTCTGCACAGCAGAGTGCACCTCTGAGGACTAGAGGTGGAGGAAGAATAAGGCGGTCTCCACACAGCATCTGGTAGTGATCCTGTTGGAAAGGAAGAGAAGTATGAAGAGGAAAGTGAGGACGTGACATCAGTTAGCCACATTGATGCTTAGATGCCTCAGTACTGAACTAGCTTAAGGGATCAGCGAGTCATTCACGGAGATAGCACGAACTGCAGATGCTGGAGTCAGAGATAACAAAGTGTGAAGCTGGAGGAACACAGCAGGCCAGGCAGCAAGAGAGCAACAGGAAAGCTGACGGTTCGGGTCATGATTCTTCTTCAGAAAAAAGAAGGGTCCCGATCCGAAACATCATCTTTCCTGCTTCTCTGATGCTGTCTGGCCTGCTGTGTTCCTCCAGCTTCACACTTTGTTATCTGTTATAGCTAGTCATTCACACTAGGTTAAAGTAAATGTCATATCCCTTTCACAGTCCCCTTCCCCATGGCTGACACAAAGCAGTCCTGCAACAAAGTGTCCATTCATTACACATCCATCAACTGAGCTTTCCGAACTTATTTCTTCATAATTTTCAATAAGCACCTGTAAGACAAATTGATACCAAGCAGGCAATGCAGGGTTCTGGGTTGCACTCAGTAATTTTCTGATTTTAGATCGTTCAAATTACCCAAGGTCCCTGGTTCTACACACTGGACTTATGTAGGGAATGTGAAATGAAGAAGACAGTAGACAGGTGTTTCATGGCAAAAGAATCTCTGTGTTTATTTAAATACAAAAAAACTGTAAATGTAGTGTAAGAAATGCAGGTAAACACAATAGACAGGGAAATTGACACAATCAGCTACATAGGGGACAGCAATACCATTAAATACGCTATTAGCTAGATTAAACATGATTGGAATCTAAAAACAAAAGTTTCAATTACAGAAACTTTAATCAGCATTCCTACCCCTGGGGTCCTAATGCACTCTCACCACCCACCTTTGCCTTCCGGCTAGCTGGATTGGAAACTTTGGGTCTCGGGAGTTTCGGCTCACCACTGAGGAAAACACGATTTTGAAGTACAGCTGGCTGTTCCCGCTTGCCGTACCCAGAGCCTGGATGAAGACTTCAGGCTGTGTAGGCTTTTCAGTTTGGGTCCTGTCCATTGATGCAGTAAGGTGCATAGTGGATCCATCGGGTAAGTACTTGGTTTTCCTTACTTTCTGCTGATTTTGCAAGCCCGGTTTTCACCTCAGGATGTGTCTGAGGCCCTGTCAGGTCAGTGGTTTTCGGAGTTTGTTAGTTCTTGTGTTTGCTGGTCGTTGTCAGTTGCCATTGGCTCCCCTGGTTCAGAATAGGCCTGCATCAGTAGCTCTTGGAATTGCTGTGGGGATCCCCTTTCTGGAGATAACTGTTGGAAATAGCTGCTGGAATAAGCGGTTGGAATTCTTCTTCTGGAGGTAGCTCTTTGGAACGTTCCTGGGGATAGATCTTTGGAACACTTTCTCAGGTGAGATTGGGACTGTAGTTATACTGATTGTGGGCCCCTTATTTTCACACCATATCTGTGTTTTCCATTGTGTTACTGACGTAACTTTTGAAGTCAATTGGTTTCCCTATCGTTAAGAGTATTTGTGAATGGATTTCCATTGAAGTTGAATGCCCGGTACCTCTGTGAATGGATTTCAATTGATGTTGAATGTTTGGGTATCTTTGTAGGGTACCTCTGTGCTAGGTAGTCTGAAGTGTAAAAGTTAGTTCTGGTCTAGAGTGTTAGGTTTGGTTGATTGTTCTCTTAGAGTGTAGGTGTAAGTTGGAATTCCAGGCTGAACAACAGTCCCAGACAGAAATCATTCTGGCTCTGTTGTGTGTTTGCAGCCTGAGCCCAAGATTTTGTCCAGTATTTTAGATATGGGAAAAGTCCAGGGTCTTGTCCAGTATTTTAGATGATGCGGATTTTTGCACAACCTGACAGCAAGAATAAGTGTTACAAGAATGTGATTCAAATAATGCATTCTGTTTCATTTGAAGAAGAAGGGAAATGTAATAACTCTATTCTAAACATTAATTTAATGAATTAGAAAGCTGTACTCCTCCTTTTCCAGACTACTATGCTAGCTGGCATGGTAAACAGATCTCTATCCTTAGACACCAATTAATTACAGAATCAAGTTACATTAATGAGATGAAGTTGGAAATGTTTCTTAAATGAATTAAGTCCATACCTGCCATGACCAATGTCATGCAAACTCTGGAAATCATTCATATTAAATAGATTAGCAGATACCTTGGCCTTGGCTTTACAGTAACATACTCATCTGTACCTTAAATTTCCCTAGCACAATGGTAAAGATCAACTGCAGCTGAGCCATGAAAAGAATAATGGTAAACTGAGCAAGAATGACAAAATTCTACAGTGCAAAAACAGGCTATTTAGCCCATTGTACTTGTGCTAGATCGCCAAATGAGCATCTCACCTAGTGATGACAGTGAGGACTCCATTCAATGTGTTTCCACTTCTGACCCACTGCCCACCTATCAGGCTGTAGCTCATATATTACTTCACTTCCTGAAAGCTGAACCTGACGCAACATGGGCCCAGGTTAAGCTGTTTTAATAATGCTTTCATGAGCTCCAAAACCTGAAGAACATTAGCCATTTTAGCAGACAGAGCAGGGCTCTGAGCAGTCTGTAAGTACCCGCTGAAGCCATAGCGATTGCACTATGTAGGAATAATAGGAAAAGGAGAATAAGGCTTTCCAGTTGCACTCTTCCTCCATCTCTAGAGATATGCATGAGGATAAGAATGTCTTTTTGGATAAATTTCTATTGTCCATTTCCCTCACAAAAATTGTTCTTATTCATTATGTCCATTGTTGAGTGCTGGATGGCGGGAGGCCTTTCAATTTGTTTGATGTGAAGACGTGAATTGATAAAGGTCCAATTGCGGATGTTCAAGTGTGCTTGATAGTTGCAGAACTACTCCATGTCGATAGCATAGGGGAGTGAAAGAAATGTTGGGAAGAACAGTTGCCATTGTGTTTCCTGGGTTCAGTCACTCACTGAAGTAACCTAAATAAAGTTTTCATTCACAAGGATATCCCAAGCAGCAATGGGAGCAACTGAGAGTGCATCACCCTTAGCACCTTCTTCTTCCTCTTCTTTCATATCATCCTTCACTCTCTATGAGTTTTCCAATGTTGCTCTGAACTCTTGGCTTCTTTTTGCCATAAGTTCAAGCCTTGCTGTGTTGTGCAGACCACAGCAAAACACAAGCACTCTACGGACTCAGTTCTGAGGAAGGGTCACCGGGCCGAAAACGTTAACTCTGCTTTCTCCTCCACAGATGCTGCCAGACCTGCTGAGCTTTTCCAGCAACTTTGTTTTTGTTCCACTCTACGGACTCTGATTGGTACATATTGACAGTAACTCCAGATCTGACCAGGAACCTGAAAATCACCTTCAGCAAGTTTCAATCAAATATTTCATGATGATTAGACATTTATTGTAATGATGAACCATTAGACATCAGGTTTCTCATGAGAGCCAAGAGCCATATTTGAAGGGATTATTCCTTGCTGGTTAACAGCCACCTCTTTGGATCTGTTTCTGGGCTAATTTCGGAACTTAGATTGCTGCAAGATGAAAGAACCATGCCAGTTGCCTGGGACTCTTTCAGCTTAAATATCATTTTATTATTGCACACCAATATTGCATTTACGGAGGGGAGGGTTTTACATTTGGTCAATAATATTGGCTGTTTTGGGGGATGTGAGTTGCTGCTTGTGTGCAGACAATGATGCTCTGCAGCTGTGGGAGCAAGCCTCAGCCAAAATACCAAGCTACCAGACTACTTTCATCATAGGAAAAGTTCACGTTATTGCTGACTCTGACAAGCAAACCAAAAGCTTTATGCATTGTGGATCTTTGATGAGTAGACACTGTATATGACTGTAGCAGAGGCCTGGAAAGATCCAAACGCAAAACATTTGAAGGTTATGCCAATTTCGAGTGGTAACGAAAGGCCACAATCTAACATGACATCCTGAACCTCTTGTGAGATTGATGTTCAGACACATTGAGAAAGCTGAACTGCTGCTGTGGAGCCTGTGTTAAGGTAGTGCTGCCAGCAAGTCATACCTCTCTGTTGATTCCTTATCTGGTACTGCCCTCTCTCAGGTCCAGCGATAGGCCTATGACCAGAGGGCTACTGCTGCTGGAGTTGCTATTGGCCATATTATTTGACAGCTGAAATTCAATCTAATGCAGCATAAGCACTAAAAGATCAAATCTCCAAAGTGCTCAACAAAATTTTGAAATGTGGAAAGCAATTTCTCAGCAAACATACTGTGAAGAAACCCTTTCCTACTCAGCGCCAAGGAAGCAGCTTTGTGTACTGAATATTGATCATCAAACTTCCTTTGAGGTCAGTTCAACCTTTTCAAATGTCACCATATACTCACTTACTTTCACTGTCTTCTACAATTCCACCAATAGCACCCAGTGCTAACTTGGCAGCTCCTGGTTTAACTCTTCCACTGTCTTTGCATCATCTGATATCCAGTCTTAGACAAGGAGCAATTTCATTCAGTTAGACATTGGAGAGAGAAGCTATCACATTTGGCAAATTCTTTAACACTGCCATGACGCCATCGCCTTGCCCAGACATTGGAAATTACTAGTTGTGTGGGCACAGACTGTAATTATGAAAATTGAATGCTGAACTACATAAATTGTGAACAAAATATAAAATGAAAAGCTTTTTACCGCTGTTACCTGAAGCGCCTCAGTTTCATTTTCAGTGGCAGATGCATGATATGAAAGGACCTGAAAGAACATCAAAAGACATTTGGAACAATTTACTATTTCCTCTGTACAGTACCATTATTTATTGCTTGAAATTACTCTTGTTCTTATGAAGTTCATACCTCAGAAATGATGCTAAACTGACAGATTTCCCTGCATGATATTTGAAGGAAAAAAAAACGGTGCCTGCAATAATTGTTGCAACACCGAACCTTGAATTTTCAATTCAATAACAACAGATCGCTTAGAAATACTTTTCTACAATGTACAATTATAAAATGACACCGAAGGGGAAATCCATACTGTTCTGCACCATTATTTGGAAGGTTTCACTGTGGGCTACAATTCTGACTAAACACGTTAAAATCCTTCGAGGACCATATCTGAATACTGTAATGGAGAATGTCTGCAGTTTATTTGGCAACAGCGATTCACTCAGGTCATGGGCAGACAATTAAAAAAAATCATGGGAGGATGAAATGTAAGTGTTACATAGAATTTCATAGAGTTTACTGTACAGATGAACAGGTCATTTGACCCAACTGATCTGCATTTATGCTTGATATGAGATTCTCTCCTCCCTATTTCATCTATCCCTATTAATATATTCTTCTGTTTCTTTTTCCTCTTGCAGCTATCTAACTTTCCTTTAAATACGTCAATGGTATCTGCATCAATGATTCTTTCATTAGTAAATTCCCTATTTTAACTGCTTTCTGAATAAAGTATTTTCTCTTTATATGTTAGCCCCTTACCACTAGAAAACGGATCAGAAATGACTTATTCAGCTTGTTAAGAAGATTACAGTTCAATTTCATTTTGAAAAATAATGTTGGAAACTTTTGAGGATTAAGAACCCCAACATATAGGCATGTTCTGAGGAAGGGTCACCAAACCCAAAACGTTAACACTGACTTTTTTCTTCACAGATGCTGCCAGACTTGCTGAGCTTTTCTAGCAACTTCTGTTGTTGTTCATGATGGTAGACGAATTGCTTTCCTGGCTAGATTTGCAGAGGTCCAAATTTCAGGTGGGAATCTAGCATTCACAGTGCGTTGTTGGTCAAATTCTACAAGGGGTAAACTTGAGAGGTCAGGGGTTTATTGTGGACGTGGCAGACAGAATGGGTTGGATAGGTTCCATCCAGTCGGCGGCTTTGAATCATTCAACTGAGAAAAACTACAAGCAGTGTGATAAAGGCACTTAACTGATGGCTTCTGTGGGAGCCAAAAGGTTATTACTGAGTAGCTGTTGCTTGATAGCACTGTTGATGACACCTTCCATCACTTTACTGATGTTCGAGAATAGCCTGATGGGGCAGTTTGTGGCCAAATTAGATTTGTCCTGCTTGATATGTATGGGACATAGCAGGGCAATTTTCTAAATTGTTGGTTAGGTGCCAGTGTTGTTTACTGATGATTGTAAGATATCCAGCAGTGTCTGTAACTCCTCCGATACATAAGTAGCTCACATTCAGAAAGATCTGGACAAAATTCTGGCTTGCACTGACAAGTGGCAACAAAAATTCATGCCTCACAAGTGCCAGGGAATGACAATCTCCAAAAAGAGAGAATCCAACCATCTTCCCTTCCAGTTCAATGGCATGACCATTGCTGAATCTCCCACTGTCAACAACCTGGATGTTACCATTGACCAGAAACTGAACTCGGCCAGCCATATGAATACTGAGGGTATCAGAGCAGGTCAGAGGGTAGACATTCTGCAGTATGTTACTTATCTCTTTTCCCAAAAGCCTATCCACCATTGTCAAGGCACAAGTCAAAAGTGTGATGGATTATTCTCCATCTGCCTGACTGTTGCAGCCCTATCAACAATCAAGAAGCTCGACACCATCCAGGACTAAACATTCTAATTGACTGACACCTCATTCACAATCTTCAACATTCACTGTCTTCACTCCTGACACACAGTGGCAGCAATGTGTATCATCTACTACACTGCTATAATTCATCAAGTTTCCTCTGATGTGTGATTTGCAAACATGTGATTTCTACCTTCTAGAAGGACAAGGGCAGTGGATACATGGGAACACTACCACCTGGAAGTTGCCCTCCCACTCACTATCCTCACTTGAAACTATATCACCACTCCTTCACATTTGCTGGATCTGTCCCTACACCCCAAGGACTGTGGTGATCGAGGAAGGCAGCTCACCACCACCTTCTCCAGGGCAATTAAGGATTGGCAATAAGTGCTGCCAAGCCAACAACATGCACATTCCATGAACAAATTTCAAAAATGTGTTTATGCATGCCTGATTTTACAATTTCAATGGGTCTCTTATGGATCAAATGGCTCCCAAAGGGTTACCTATTTTCCTGGAACATGATCCAAAGTGGTACAGTATCTCTTCAAAAGGATTCCCTGTCTATCCAAAAGAAATGATCTAAGAACAGATTCTCTCTTAACCTGGTCTAATCTCAACATCCTAGGTCCATGGACTCCAAAATCTGATGTTATTGAAGTTTTTTGATCTTTTAAATGGTTGGGATCCATGCATGCACAAATTAGGGACTGCACTAATTTTGCTCCCATGAAAATGAGATGTAGGATCCAGGGACAGAAATTAGCAGCAAAGGAGATAGTCACTATTACAGCTAAAATCTGAACTTTGGGTTTCCCATGTGCAGCATGCAGAAACTGGTAGCTAACTTTGGCAACACACCTTTGGTAACATAGCTAATTCTCCACAAGGACTACTCAACTACAAAGGACTGGGGAGAGGAAGGTCAGTTGACATAGCATGCTGATCTGACAATCTGGAATTTTGACCTGTGGTGAAAATTACAAGCTACTCTTGTTCATCACTTACCTCCAGTGTCACAATCTGTTTTGCCATGGCCATTTCAACAGTTTCATACATCTGAGTGTTCTGTATGCCCAAGCCACAAAAAATGGCAAATGCTTCCAGAAACTGCTCATCGTTTTTATTAAAGGCACTGATTTTGTCAACGGTTTCACCAATTTTGTTCATCAACTGACAGACACCTGAAATGCATAAATGACGTACTGTAACCAATTAAAAGAAGGACTGATGGAAGATTTTACTGTTAGATCAGTTTTTGCGGGTATATAAGATAAAGTCCATGGACCAGAGTAACACATTAATAAATTAACATAGTGTCATAAACAGTGTTTGCACATTATTACTGACATCAGATTAACATATGCTACTGCTATGATAGATGCTTCTAATCGATTTAATCTGCATGAGTGACAAAGGTGAACTTTATGTAGCTCTATTCCTGACAGTTTTCATTTCATACCATTTGATGTCATTTGAGGACAGATTCAAGATTTCTACCATGGAATTTTAAGATTCGAATTGCTGTGGTGGGGAATTATTAATTGCCAGCTAACTTTCTCTGACCCATGAAGTGAGCAGCTCATAGCAGAAAATTGAGTGGACATGTTGGGTACCCTTTTGCCTGCCTGGTTCAATCTTTTGTAATCACAATGAAAGCTCTGATACAATCTGTGATGGTTCTCTTAGGCCATATCAATTGAGGATCAGTCACTTAAAGAAATGGTGTCACAAAGCAATATTCATGATTCCAGGAAAATAAAACAAAGAACTGCGGATGCTGGAGATCTGAATTACACAAAAACAGAAATTGCTGGAGAAACTTAGTAGGTCTATGGAGGGAGAAAAACAGGCTTAACATTTTGAGTCCGGTGATGATGCTGCTAGATCTGCTGAGTTTCTCCAGCAATTTCTATTTTGGTGCATTTCACAATTCCACTGTCAGCTATCTGATAATGATGCAAAATAAAAACAGAACAATAAATCCGATATAATTATTTCAGATTACTACAGTACCATGCTTACCACTAGTGACATTTTAACCTTCCCTTTGGCTGTTTCTTACATTGGTTTTACCTAAAGACTTGATCTCTGTGATGTCAACAGCTATTCGACTTTATAAATGGGATTGTTTTAGTCTAACTTGCCTGGTGGGAAAAAAAACCTTAGAGTACTGTCTACAGTTTTGGTCATCATATTTAAAAAAAGGATGTACTGGCATTGGAAGCAGATCAAAAGAAATTCATTAGGATGATTCCTTGGATGAAGGGTTTGATTTTTCAAGAATGGTTAAACAGGGTAGGCTTTTATTCATTAGAGTTTAGAAAATTAAGGGGTTATCTTATTGAAACATACAAGATTCTGAGAGGTTTGACAGAGTAGATGTTGAGAAACTGTTTTTGCTTGTGGATGGATCTCTAGGGGATGTACTTACAGATTAAGGGGAAAATTCATTTAAAACTGAGATGCAAAGGAATTTGTTCTCCCAGAAAGTCATGAATGTCTGGAATTCTGTAACCCAGAGAGTTGTGGAGACTAGATCACTGAAAGTATTTAAAAAGAAGGGAGATAGGTTTTTGACATACCAGGGAATTGGTAGTTATGCTGAATCGGCACAAAATAGTAAATTTGGCCTGAAGCAAATCAGCCCTGATCATTTTGATGAGCGGGACAGGTTTGAGGGACAGAGTGGCCTACTCCTGCGCCTATTTCTGAGAGAGAGTCTTCTCAGCCGGTGTTGAATTCTGTCTCCTCAGTTCCATCTCCTTTTCAAAAACTGAATTCTTTAGCTTGTTTGCATTTTCCATGTCTACTGAAGTTATATTTTCAGGTTTGATAATTGCAGGTGAGGTTTCATCTCAACAGATGAAGATTCTCATTAAAAAAATCAAATAAGGCCTGAGGATCTTTACATATTTCCCATGGAGTCTAGTCCAACGGTTTCATTGTCCTTGTGAATATATTAACTTCAACTCAGACTGTCATGAACTTGGTTAATCTGGGCCAATGTAGTTCAGATGACCTCTGTGGCTATTTTATGTTTGTATTTTGGTCCATTTTTAGAACTGTTTCTGTTCATGAACATCCCAGGTATCAAAATCAGCCAATGGGATTCAAAGAGCAATACTCCGATTGTGTATTTTTATTGGCAGCACGGAGATCCTTACAGATCATACGAATTGGCCTAGGTGAACAGAAGGTGGCAGCCTTAAGCTGCATTTTCAGAGTTGTCCATCGGATGAACGTTCATGAAATGCTTTAACACATTAGGTAGAATTTTCTGACTTATATCTGACTGAAATGGCAGCATAAATATGCAGGTTGGAAACCTAATTTACTAATTGATGATCTCCGCCACTTCCTTCACATTATTATCCTTCAACTTTGTGAATGCTGGGCACTTTCCACCTACCTTTAGTGCCAGCTCCAGTCCTTTCTATTGCAAAGGCCGCAAGAGACTGCAACAATCCTGGACACACTTGCTGGACCATATTGCAGGGAGGGTCCAAATCTATCAATGCAGTAGAATCCCAACTTGAACCGATCATTTGTTCAATTGTTGCTCACTTGGTGTTGTGGCTCCAGTTGTACCTGGCCCTTTCCTTTGTGGGAGTTTCTTCACGGAGGTCAGCAGAGTAGTGTTGAATGGGTATTCCTTATCTCCCAGAAGCCAATCACTGAGACTGTTCAATGGAGAAAAGACCTGCAGAAGTTGAGACGACTGTAGGATGGAAAATATATGACACTCCCTGCGTATCTGGCATGGACTTGCACAATGTTCATGCAGTGGTCACAGACCAGCTGCTCATCAAGACAGTGGAGGTTCTTCTGAATAACAAATGGCTGGTCTAATAGCATCTTAACTGACACGAGTGCAATCAATCATCCCGGGAAATGTGAAAATCCTGCGACTAATATAAAGCTACCAGCCCTCTAGGGTTTGACTGACTTCATTTATGTCAACGTGAATACAGTTGGAGGTCTTGGCAAAGAGGTAATCAGAGACCCACTGTTGGTAACACGTAGCAGCATACAGCAGAATGTCATCAGTTCATACCAAGAAGGATCAGATGGGTAGAATGGTAATCCCCTTAACGTCCATCGGCAATAGGTGGTCACTTGCACATCTTGAATGGAAGAATGCTTCCTATACACAACACTAAGAGTTCCTCAAAGTGCAGCCCTGTTGTCCATTCCTTGGAGCTGCACATGTTTGTGGGGAAGGCGCTGCTGCTGTCAGAAATGCTGTCCTCGTCACTGTGGCTGTCGGGTTGAACTAAGCCGGAGTCATGCTACTAAAGAACACATAGCACCATGTTACAGGCAAGTTGTAAGCTGCTGACATTGAGCCTCTTAGGCAATTAAAAGCTACCAAAGTTGCTGCTTCCCAAATAGTCAGCCAATTCAGGTTGAAAGAATTAATTGTGTCAGCACCTTTTACTCCAGCTATCTGCATGATTACTTATTTCAGTCATTATACCGTTGCAGGCAGGTCAGTTTCAGTCAACAATGACTCCTTTAATCTGGTGACATTCAGACACACCATGGAACCTAACCTGGGAAAGTCAGAACTTGCAGTCAAGGAAACTATTAATTGAATTAATGGCTTTCCCACCATGTCAATGGGATTTCCCACTGGCCTCAAAGACCGTTATGGAGAAAGCAACAACAGAAAGAAATAACAATGAAAATCCATTCAGGAGTCAATTTGAGGGGATTAAATCTCTGCACGCAAATGTGCTTCCCTGCATTCCTTTGTAATGAGAGGAAAATTCCCCTCGTTATTTGCTGGATTTTGAAGTGATGCTGGTGAACTCTGCTGCTGCTACTTGGAGCTACTCTGCCAGAAGATCTACCCTCATGGGATCTCATGACTCATCAGTCTTGTGCTATCCTCATTAATCCATTTCAGCTCAACTGCAACTGCACTGTGACATCTGTCGGACAACTATGTATGGGTAAAACTTCTGTCCTACTGCCCTCCACTTTTTTTGTCAATTGTGCCCAACAGATTTTTATATATCAAATACAATTTGTTAGCATAATACTTTGAAATATGACAGACATTTTAAATGCTTGTGGACAAATGTCTTATTATATAGATTGTATTTAAGTTGGTAATATAAAAACAGTTAAATGCTTATTAAACGTAAAAGTGAAAATATAACAATTGAAGAACTATACAATTATCATCAATTTACAATCATAAGTGATTCACAGGTTGTCTAATAAATACTGTTTTTTCAATTCTAAGCAAATGATAAAACTAGCGTATATTATACAAAAATGAACACTTATATAAATGGTAATATTGTATTCATTATATAGAAAATATGAAACAGAAGCAGAAATACACCATAATGGCCCTTGAACCTGCTCCATTATTCTACATGATTGAGACTGATCATCTGCCCTCAACTTCACTTTGCTGCTCATTACTCATAAATCTTGATTCCCCTAAAGACCAAGGACCTATCTCAGCCTTAAGTATACTAAACATTGGAGTATCCACAAATGTCTAGATTAGAAAGATCCAAAGATCAATAGAACATTAAGTGAAGAAATTTCTCCCCAAAGTGATTTTCTCTGAATGGGCCAGAAGGTATTCACACAGTTAGCTATTGTAAGTGGCGAGTCACCACAAAGTCCTCCAACCCTAAAAGACTGAATGGTAGCTGTTGCAGGTAAAGAAAATAAAGCACCTTTTTCTTGAGGTGTCAACTTTAAAGCATCAAAAATAAAAAAAAAATGTTTCCTGCTGCCAGGCCACCATTGTAGGGGGGTGGGGGGAACATCTATAGGCAGTTGACTGTTTCTGAATTTGCAGAGGAGCCTACAAAGCTTTAAATGGCTTTTTACTTGTGTTAATTGGCCAACCATGGCTGTAGGCAGTTAGTTCTTCCAGCCACAATCCCACCTCTGGGAAAATGGGCTCAGGAATGGGATGGTGCCTCATAGGCTGGCATTGCAAATGACATACCTGGTTGCCTCCTTTTATTTCAATGGAAATGTTCTGCCCATTAATAAACAAGTCAGGTAGCTCATTTGAGGAGCAACCCTGCTGTGTTTTCTATTTTACAGACACATTTTCAGTTCTCTGTCTACTGTCCTATTTTGTTAATGGCGTAAATTCCCAGGGCACTGAGAAATTAATGCAAACAATGCCTGTCTGTCTAACTATCTAATCTTTCAAAACACACATTCTATTCTTGGAACAATCATTCACACTTTCCTCATGAAAACATGACGTGGTATTAATTGGAGCTTCACTCCTTGACTAGAGTGATGTGTTAAACTCATCAAAAACATTTGTTCATTTGTCTCCTCCACAAGTTTGTTATCCTTGCAATTAAACTAATTAATTCTTCCTATAAAGTACAGTTTATGCAAATAAAAAAAACTCGTAGTGACTAGACACTTAAACAGAGGTGTTAAATTTATCTCTTCAATGATTCCCATTTGAAAACTTATTTATAGAAATACTGGCTATACTAAGACCACAAATTGGGCAGTTCAGAAGGGAAGAACTTTCCTTGATCAGACAAACCTCTATGAATTAAAGAAGATTTATTAACTTATGCCTTTTCAATAATTTATGCAATCTAAGAAAATTAATACACTAGAAAGCAGACAGTCAAAAACTTTCATCCTTTTTATTGCAGTTTGTTATGATTTTAATGAATGAAATGAATCATCTGAAGAATTGCTCATGGAAGTATGAAAAGTACAGACATGCAGACAAATCCCACACACACAACCAGCACAAACGTACATTAAAATGTTCAGAGAAGCTCCAGTACCTATCACTTTATTCTTCTTTCCATTTTTAATTGGGGTGCAGAGCAAGCTTTTTATTTGTTTGTTTGTACTTTCTGCATTTTCACTCTATCAAGCAAATAAAAATAGGGTTAAAAGCTACTGGGAATATCCAAATATCACTAAATGATAAAATCCTTGGATTAAATCAGGTGTAATTTGTTGGCATTATTTAAGATCCACTTACTGTCCATGTAAACCGTGTATCCTTGCTAACATCTGAAATATTCAAGGTTTCCATGGTGCTTTTTGCGTACTTTGCAAAAATGTAGTTGATTTTATTTGTATCATAACTCCTGTTAAAAAGAAACGAACATATATGAACATGAGATAGTAGGAACTGCAGATGCTGGAGAACCTGAGATAACAAGGTGTAGAGCTGGATGAACACAGCAGGTCAAGCAGCC